ACACAGCAACGTGTTCATGGAGGCAGCCATGTTTGTTCCGAGATGTGGGTAGCTCGAACGGGAGAACGCCGGACGTGATGTCACTCAACTCGGAATTTCCGAGTTCCGAGAGAAAAACGAACGCACCATAAAGTCTCCTCCATGGCTCTGTATGTGGAGTCTGCATGTTCTCCTCATGTCGTCATGGGTTTTTCTCCACATTCTCTGCTTTCCCCCCACAGCCCAAAAACACGCCGAGGTTAATTGGAGTTGACAAATTGCCCGTGGGTGTGTGTGTTTGTGAGTGAATGGTGCGTGAGTGTGCCCTGCGACGGGGTGGTGCCCCATCCTGGGTTGTTCCCTGCCTTGCGCCTGTAGTCTCCATGTTAGGCTCCAGACCCCCCGCAATGCTAAATAAGTTTAATGGTTACAAAAACGGATGGATCGATGGATGGAAAGAATTTGAATGTATACTTTCTGTCTCCAAGAACCAGCTAATTCCATCTCAGCTGTTTAACAAAGTCTTTAACGTTATATTTTCAAACATGTCTTTATATGTTTTTGCTGCCGTTATGCTGACTGAAGTGAATAACTGATCAGGTATAACAATATCCTGGAGCTTTTGGCAGGAATATTGATCTGTCTGCATTCCAGATAAGCTCCGGTGAAAACGGCAGAGGGCGCTTTCTGATGAGTTTGTATTTTCATTACTATGTAGAATAAAATGTGTCCATATTTGTGCGTAACTAGCCACTCTCTGTTTGTATTTCTCCCCCCGCGCTCCAGGTGTGCAGTGAGCACGGCTCTGTGGACGCAGTGTTTCCTCTGGCCATCTCGCTGTTAGACCGCTATTTGTCCCAGTCCTTCTCCCTGCCCATCTCGCCGCTCTGCCTCACTGCAGCCTGCATTCTGCTGGCTTCCAAACTGGCAGATGAAAAGGCTGTGGGCGCCGACGCCCTGTGCACAGCTGCCCGCTTCGCTTTTCTCCCACAGCACCTGCGGGTGAGTCACCTCTGAGCCCCTCTGCCATTGCAATGTACCTGCTTTTTACAAGCAAACTGACTCTGCGTAACACTTAATATACTCCAGGCTACACCTCCAGCTATTTTGTGAAAGAAGTGGATTAGAAAAAGTGAGATAATTGTGTAGTTTCAGTGATTTTTTTTTTTATAACTTCAGAGTCCCATAACTCCTACAGCCCTTTGAATAACAACACAGTTTTTAGAAGCAGGTAATGAGTACTTTCTTCCCAATTAAATTAAAACATTTCCTCCCCCCACCACTTGTCAACTTAAAACACCTTTGGGGTGCTTTTAACTCATGAAGGGGACCATGCAATGGGTCATTGTTTTACATACAATTAGTACACACACATACACACACACATGTGTATGGTATGTAATGAAGAATGGACTGGATATGCATAAGTGACAGCAGTAAAATGCAGTTCCTGAAATTTGACCTTGAATAAATTAACTTGAACTTATGCAAAAGTTAAATTTGACCACAACATGAAAAAAATACATTTCATAGCTTCCCATCGATCTATGTAGTAGCTTTCATAGTAAAAAAAATAAATAAAATACAGCTCATTAGAAAGCACACAATTATATATTTTTGCTACCTGGGACATAGAAAAGGCCCTGAAGCTTGCTAATGTATATGATGCAATTCAGATTCCAAATTTCATCAAATTCAAAAATGGTGACAAAGAAAAGTTTCTGGAAATTGTTGAATTAATTGATTCATTGAATTGAATGGACTTGATGCTGATTTTACCCTGCCGATTCCTTCTTACATTTCTTTCTCAACTACCGTCTTGTAGGACATGGAGATTATCGTCCTAGCATCTCTCCATTGGGATATTACTGCCGTGACCCCCCAAGACTTCCTTCCACACTTCTTGTCTGCATTGAGGGACAGGGCTGGGACCCTCGGCGGAGACACCGAAAGCTTGCGCTCATTTCTACGCGCTCGGAGCAGCACCCTGGCCGCCTTGTGTGTCTGCCAGTCCCAGTTTTTGGGAACACGCCCCTCCGTGATTGCAGCGGCGGCTTTGAACTGCGCCCTTAGGGAGCTGGGGCTCCAGCGAGTTCAGCTTGACAGGATGACCAGCACACTAGCAGGACTTTGTAAGACAGATGCGGTGAGTAGGCTACTTTAAATTGCGAAACTAGAGAAAGGGAGTGTTCGAGAAATTATATAGACATTTTATACATTTAATCATATTCCGTTATGAAAATGTAAAATGTCGTTTTGCATACATATAAAAATACAAATATTACCGACAAAATCATGTTATTGATCTCAGTTTCAATTGGAGTAGAGTGCTCTTCACGCACGTGAACACTTAAAACTTTAACCATGTACGATAATACCCGTGTCTTGTTTTCGTGATCCCAGGCAGCGGTGCAGCACTTTTCTGAGATGATAGAAATTAACATGCTCCGGAGGAGTCAGAGGATGGGACTGAAGGAGAGGGATCTGAATGTTAATGTCAGTGATGAAGAAACACAGGAATGCAGAGCCAGCACACCAACGGACTTAAGGGACATCGATTTTTAGGCAATTGTGAAATGTGCTGCGTAATTTTACCACTCAATCGGATGAGTTGTTTAGACAATTTACTAATAGGCCCACAATTTTTCATCTTGCGGTCCATTTTGTCATGTCAGTAGACGATTTAAATTTTCATTTTTGCTGCTTTTTTTGTGTTTTACATTTGTTGTGATTTGATTGGATTAATATCGTAACTATTATGTATTTTAACTTGATGTTTTATTTATTTCAATTATTTATTCGTATATTTATTGTTTGTTATTCATTCGTCTATTTGTTTATTGTCTGATTATTTATTTATTTATTTATTTATTGCGATATTTATTTATTAATTTGTTGAAAATATTTATATCAGCACTGTAATTCCATGTCAAAAATGTGGTTCATTATCTTTATTCTGTGATTCTGTGACGTTTTATTTTTAAAATATTTATATGGATATATTTTTTAAAAATATAAAATAAACAGTTTTAAAACGTTTTGGCATAACGCACCTTATTTACTAGAATTTTCTAGTCAATGGGAACTCTTAATTGCTCTACGGTATTTCACAATCATGAAAATCGCCTGTGTAATATTTGACAAAATTAAAACACAACATTAAGCTACCAGAAAACAGAAACACTAACACTGTTTTTTTCTGTAACGTGAATTTTGAAAGTGACTGACTACCGCATAGTACTACATAAGTACTGCGCATTAATATTCACAGGCAGTCCCCAAGCATACTCACATAATCCATACTGATAATTGGCGGACGTCCTTCACCCGTTTAAAGGCGGCACTAAAAAAAACTACAATTACCACGTCGCTGGTTGATGCCGTCATTTTTCCCATGGATCCGGGCGTGCTGGAAACGTACAGATAACGGCGATTGACGTTGACAGAAAAGGAGACGTGTAGGCAAGACGATAGTTGGTGGGTGACAGGGACGAGCGGATGCATGTAAGTGGAGTGTTACTGGGGTCAGGACGGCTAGCAATACTGATGAGTAGGCTGATAAACAAGAGACTAAGTAATGGCTACGCGGGGAGCTGACGGAGGCAGATACAAGTAATTAAATATACGGGAGTTTTAGATGATCAAAGTACTTTGCTTCTGGCAGATGGTTAATTGGGACCCCGCGTTATCCAGGATAGCACCCCAACCTCTGTTTGTGTTATCGTTTTGTTTGTCAGCCATTCAGCTGTTTACGTCACATTTTAGTGTACCTTGTTCATAGCCTAGTTTTTTAGTATCTGCCTTTTTTCACTTTGCTTTTTCAGGAACATTTCTGTGTCCCTTGTGTGAAGTCAGTAATGTGCTTCGATTTGTCCTACTTCTTTGCCTTGCTGTGCTGTAATATTTTGCTCGCCTTAGCTGCATTGATTCGTCCCCTGGTTTTCTTTGCTCAGTGTTTCGATATTAAGTTACGAACAGACTGCATCCTCTTATGTTTCATATTCTGAATTTGTGTTAATGTACTCATGTCGTTTATACTTAGACGAGAAAGGTGTGACAAATATGAGTCATCAAGAGTTTGATCTTTATGACTTGGGGTGAAAGTACCACATACGTCCATTAAATCAGTAATTTGTTGGGTTGAACTTAAGTCAAAATTGTCATTTCTATGAGATCAGTTATGTGTTCAGTTGCATATAATAATAATAATAATAATAATAATAATTAGATTAATTACATGTCCAGATTGACTATTTAATCAATAAATGCAATTAATTACTATGAATAACATAGTGTAATTTTATCTAAAAAACTGAACATTGTATGATGATAAGTACTTTTCAATGTTTTCCACAGTCATCCTAAGTTCAACTGACCCAACTCCAAACATTACATGTCCAGATGGTTCTTGACGCTTCTCTGAAGGAATCCATGACCTAAAATGGCAGCACCGTGTGGTTGTTTCCTGAGCCCAGATGACACTAATACCCTCACTCTTTGTAATCAGAATGGCTGTGACTCCCTACTGGCTGCTGCTCCTGTCCATGTCAGTGGGAACGTGGTCAGTGCCCATTGACCACAACAAAATGCCCCCAGGAACTGAGCCCCCTCAAGAAGACAAGCAAGATGACAATAAGGTACTTCATGTCATTAACAGACAGCACTCGTTACAGCAGATGAGGTCTTTCTCAATATATGTACTTGATCGTACTTGCGTTCCTGTGTACCCGTTTTACGTCATCTTCCATTGCTGAAGACCAGTCGCAAAACTAAGAGCAAAAGTACAGAGAAGGGTAAGCAAGACTAGTCCCATGATTCATTGTGCCCCAAGTTTGTTCTTGGGAGACAAGTTAGCAAGACCGGTCTTGACAAGACCACTAGTACAATCTTGGCGTTCTTGGTATTGAGCAACACCCAGGGTTCTAATTCATCCCATACTGTCATTCTCCCACTGTTTATCTAATTTCAATGCTTTTCTTAGGACACAGGCCTGTACTATGATAGATACCTTAGAGAAGTGATTGAAGTATTGGAGACAGACCCACATTTCAGGGAAAAGCTACAGACTGCTAACACAGAGGACATCAAAGTGAGTCTTGAACTTGCACATTATTATTTATTCTAGTTTTGATTCTAGTTTTGTCTTTCTTGTTTGATTGCTTGTTCTCTTGTTTTCCTTGCTTGCTTGTTTCCATGGTTGTTTACTTTCCTGCTTTCGTTTTAGCTTGCTTTGTTTGCTTGTTTATTTTTGCATCTACACATGTCATGAACATAACTTTCTGTGGCCAATGGTAACCCAAACTCTCTGTGTGGCTTTCTAGAGCGGACGCTTAAGTAAGGAGCTGGACTTGGTGGGGCACCATGTACGGACACGTCTGGATGAACTGAAGAGACAGGAAGTGTCAAGGCTGAGGATGCTGCTTAAGGCCAAGCTGGACAACACAAATGCACATGGTGAGAGGATGAGGCATATGTGTACTGTATGTGTGAGTGTGGGTCTGTCTGTCTGTATTGGTCCATCCATCCATTCAGGCCATGCACGCGGCAGCACGATTGAAAGCTAGTAATCAGTGGATGTTTCTCAATACCAAGAAAGCAAAAATCGTGCTTGTGGCCTTGGCAAGACTGATGTTGCTAACTTGCCTCCCAAGAACGAACTTGGGGTGCAATGAATCATATGATTGGTCTCATTTGATGAGGATGCTAGTGATGTTCCCTTGATATTTGGGGTATGTCAAGAGCAACATTTGGGGATTTTTACTCTCCTCTGTACTTCTGTTCTTACGTATTGTAACTGGTCTTCGGCAATGATGTAAAACAGGTAGACATGAACACAAGTACGGTCAAGTATGCATATTGAGAAACACCCACTAAGTGTGACTCTGCTCTTTGACTGCAGATATACAGGTAGACCATGCTGCTCTGCTGAAGCAATTCGAACATCTGGATCCCCAAAATCAGCACACCTTTGAGGCCAAGGACTTGGAGCTTCTAATCTCCACGGTATAAGGTCCTGGGGGGAAATTTGGGGGAAAACAAAAACTGAAGATATGGTGCAGACACAATACACACAGTGCAGAGAGTATTAAGCAAGAACAAGTAAATTGGAATACATTTGTAAGTTAATAGTAACATAATCAGTGTATGGGGCTATCTGTTCTGACATATTACGGCTGGGAATTAGGGCTGACAGCTTCGGGGGCGAGAAGACTGAAAAAGAAAAAGAAGAATGAGAAAGGAGGGAATATTAGAGAAATGATGCTGGACAGCCAGAATCAAAAGATGCCTTGCAGGTTGAGATGTAAAGGTGTCAGTATAGTGATAAACAACTGGATGTTGTTGCATGTATATACACAGCTGCTCATTCAGTCCTCACTGCTTGGCAGGCGACCAAGGATCTGGAGAGCTACGACAAGGAGCGGCATGAGGAGTTCAAGCGCTACGAGATGCTGAAGGAGCACGAGCGGCGGGAGTACCTGAAGGGGCTCGACCAGGAGAAGCGGGAGGAGGAGGAGAAGAGGCTGGAGGAGCTGAAGGAGAAGCACAGGCAGCATCCCAAAGTCAACGCGCCGGTGAGAAGGGAAGGGATAGCCTGGATGGATGGATGGATGGATGGATGGAGGAGGTTGATTGGAGGAGTCAAAGGTGACTGAATGTGTGAACATTCATGTTTTTATTTTTTGAGCTACATTTTCTCCATTTAGAAATAAAGGGGAGAAAAATAAGTGAAAATAGGCAGGAGGAGAGGGTGCATAAGAAGGATTCTTACCACAGCACTGTTGAATTCTTGAATCTTATTGGTCGGACAGGGTGTTCATTTTTCTTTAACTGCCAGCCAGGCGAATCAGAATAGTACATCGACACACTTTTATTATGCTTTTTAATTCCAACTAACATTAATTAAATTCAGGCGTAGAACACAATTAACTAAATCAACAGAAACTAAACAGAAATATTCAATCATTGGCAGAAGAAAGTAGTTCCATTAAGAAATGTGCTTTTAGCTCGTAAACATGCAAATAATGTCTTTAGGCACAAACGTATAAGCCAAATATGTAGTGACCGCAGTGTGAATGGGTTAATGCATTATATGTTTTTAAATGTACTCTACTGCATGTCAGGCAGTTCTTGGCTTCCACAGCCATGCATTTAAAAATGTATAATGCCCGACTTGTCATGCATTAACCCATACTTATGGGCCAGGGTTGAGAGTAAGCTTTTTAAAAGCCATTGGAGTGGTTCTGCACCTCACTGACTCGGCTCCCGGTTCCTCTCTGTCTCAGGGCAGTGCAAAACAGTTCCGGGAAGTGTGGGAGGAAACGGATGGCCTCGACCCTCAGGAGTTCAACCCCAAAACATTCTTCAAACTGCATGGTCAGTTAATCTCTTAAATGTATTGCCATTAATTATCAATTTTTGGTTCTACTTTGTTTTCTATACAAAGATATCAAGTATATATATAGGCTGGGTCTGATACTGCTGCCTTTTTTTTCTTCATTTTATGGTCAACAGCTGGTATGAGATTTCTGATTTGTAATAGAAAAAATACCTTAAGTCTTGACTTTGTTCTTGCTTCTATGATGCTGGCAAAACTGATCCTTCTTTAGCCACATTGTCTCCCCCTAGTGGCATTTTAAAATAATGCAGTTATTTCAAATGGTACACATTATGGCAGTAGTGTGCCTTTTCTATCAGTAATACAGGATATAAAACAATACTCTTTCCCCACTAAGATACTAATGAGGATGGGGTTCTGGACGAACAGGAACTTGAAGCTCTGTTTACCAGAGAGGTACTGCATTCATCTCTGTCGTACCGTGTACATGTGTATATATATATATGTTCGGAAGTGGTCCGCAGTGCAGGCTATATACACTGTGCTTCACTTTCAGCTGGAGAAGATGTATGACCCACGGAACGAGGAGGATGACATGATGGAGATGGAGGAAGAGAGGCTGAGAATGAGGGAGCACGTCATGAAGAATGTCAGTCACTCTGCTGCCCTTCCTTTAACTATGATCCGTAAACTTCTGTGCTGAGACTGTTACAAATGCATCAGTTGCACTTTGTTTCTCTTTGCCCTATTTTTTATTATATATACATGTAAGTATAATGATATTTGACAGTAAACCTCCAACATATATGCCCTTTGGTTCTGATGTAGGTATTGCAGAGATGTACTGATTGTCACAGTCATACTTTCTATCTAGAATATCACACTTTCCTTTTTTGATTGTTTACTACCAAAACCTCCAGCAGGATTGCACAGCGACTAGAATAAGGCCTTGTTCTATGAAATGTGTCACTATTAATTAATTGTTTATCAGGACAGCTTTCTCAATGACATCCAGAGATATTTAAAGGGCCAGGCACTAGGGGTAGGGGAATCCTCCCCCCCCCCCCCCTTGGTAAATTCATTGGTGATAAATAAGGGACACTCAGAACCTCAAAATGGCACAAAACAAGCATTTAGGCTATATCACGATACTCAAATTGATGACAATATGAATGTTCATAATCATAATCTGATATTTTGCCAATATATCATCCAACCCTTCAGTGTATTGTAAGAGAACTCGTTGTACACAGGCAGATTTTAAATAGGGAAAATACTGTCCTTTTATCAGTACTTTTTGCCTTGTAAACTTGTATTTAGTTCTAGCCAGTCCATAACAATCAAAGATTATTGTCTGCAGCGCTACCAGCACCTTAACCCACTGCACACATTCTCCATGTCCTGGTGGCTAAATTTTCCCAACCACAAAAACTCAGGCATACTCTGCCAGTTAATGAACGATAATAATTTGACATTATACTTAATATTAATTTTTTTTATTATCTCTATTATTATTTTATTATTAAAATAATTCTTCATTATTTCTGTAGGTGGACACCAATCATGACAGACTGATCACCCTGGAAGAGTTAATTAAATTCACAGAAAAGAAAGAGTTTAATAACTCTCAGGAATGGGAGGTGAGAACAGAAGGAAGTCCACAGAAGCTTCTGTGGGGGCAGGGGTTGGGGGTTCCAGAGCACATACATTTTTGTGTTTTGTGAATTAAGTTTGCCAAAATATATTGAGTATTGGTACTTCCTTAGTCACATGTGGATTTACGTGTCAATTCCTGTTGAAGACCCTTGATGACAGGAAACCAGTGTACTCTGAGGCGGAGCTCCAGCAGTTTGAGGTGGAGCTCCGGGATAAGGAGATCGAGCTGGGTAGGCGGGCGGCTTCGCTACAGCACGAGGAGGAGTTGCTCAGAGAAAGGGGCAAGGCCCTAGAGGCACAGAAGAAAGAGTATCAGCAGGTGAGAAGGGTGATATGAGTATTATTAGCAGTGTGCTAAGAAGCACAGTCCTTTTATATTAGTGTTTCTGTACATTTTGGTCAGGCATTATTGGAGCTATCTCAGAAGCAAAAGGACCCTCAGGCAGTAGTGGGGCAGCCACCTACTGGTCCCAAAGAAGAGCTGGAGTTTCATGAAGAGGTGAAGAATGCAGAAGAAGGTGAGGGGATGGTGGAAGATGGTAGAAGATTAGATATGTGTAGACATGACTTTGTGCTGTTTAAATATCTTTCTTACCTTCTGGGTTTTCAGATGCAAAGGTGCCTGTTTCTCAGGAGGAAGGCAGGGAGGCTCAGAACAGCCTCCCAGCAGATCATGTGCAGAGTCAGTCCACCCAGAGCCCCTAACGTCACCACAGTGCCACACCTGCTTGGGTGGTGTGCTGCCAATTTGTCCATCCATCCATCCAGGCCATACTTGTTGATCTTAACATTTCATTTTAACATTGTAATTAGTGTTCTGTTTGTTACCAACAGTATGGCAACTCAAACAATTTTTTTTGGAGATAAGTATTTTGGAGGTAAATATTTTAATGTTGCCATTTGTAGATAATCTAAGTACATCTCTTAAACTTTTTAAAATCACTTCAAGATAGATAAACAGATTTTAATTTAAATCTAAACAGATATTTTGATTACGATAAATAAAATTAAATCATTCCAGGTCTGTTTATGGCCATAGTATAATAAAGATATCTTAAATCCATTTTTAAGCTTAATGTATGTGGAAGCAATTATCTAAAGGACTCTTTGAATTTACATAAACATTGTGTGCCTGAATTACATTATTACTATTAAATTTTTTTTGGCTTCTTTCTCTGAAAGTTTTGCCGTAGCTGTATTTTCCAGATGTATTGCAAAGGCAGTGTTCATTTTAATTGGTGGTACTCCACTTGCATAAAAAAAGCCTGCCATATTGATTTCTTTCAGCATCAGGCCATTGTATTGTCATACATGTGCGTTTGCATCCCAGGTTCCCATACTACTATTTTCTGTTTCCTCTTTCCACCTTAAACAATACTAAAGTGTTTGTACCATCCTGCCATTTTAGATATGGGGGGAACTTGCAAACTGTTTGGGATATGAACCTACAACCCTCATGCCCCCAACGATGCATCGTCTGTGTTGCGTCTGTGGTTTACTTTTCACTTTATAATTTCTATTCACAGTTCGTATCAGAGTAGCTTACTGTTGCTGCCTCTTCCACTGTGTCATTTTGTTTATGGGTCTGTTTGTTAATGGTGTGTATCTCTGTTATTGTGTTACCTAAATGAACGCTTATATGTGTGAGAAAGCAGGTCGGCTTTTGGAACAGATGCACTGGCACATACTTTGAAGTCATGTCAGCAATGTGCTGTGTTGCTTATATTGTGTATAATTATAGATTGGCTTCTGTTTCATGGTCGGTCTTACCTTTTATCTTATATCATGAGTGCTTTCTGCCCCAAATGACAGTTCAATCAGTACTTTTTTATTTTTCTCCATCAGGCTGCTGCCTTGCAAACCACTGAGATTTTTCTGTATACTCTATGAACGCACAATTCATACCTTTTAATGAAGAATTTCTCCCTCTAATGTCACCAGGGTAAATTTCTCTGTTCCCCATATGACTTTAAGGGAAACATATGTGGTCTACAAATTATTTTCTGTACTTGATACCTGTGTGCAGTCCTGTTTTTTTATTTTTATGCAGAATTTAAATCTTGTCATTTTATGCCATATCAGTGTTGGGGGTGAGGATTAAGGGCAAGAAATGAAAATCAGCGCTCTATTGTGTACTGTACTAAAAAAGACGATCAAATAAAATGACTGAATTTTGGTGCACTTCCCCTTTAAGGTCTTAGTCACTGTGTTTGCACAATTTCTCACACCCCTCTAATCCCATGTCTCTATCACAGACAGCCATAGTGTATTATATGCTCCCACTCTTGTTTTTCCCAGAAAAGAGAGAGAAATATGTGAGAAATGGATTCCCACGCCCCTCCGGTCTCCTGCTGTAATCTTCCATAACTCTTTGCTTTTTGTATAAAGAATAAAAGAAGATAAAGATTAAGGGAAATTAAGGTCCAAATGTGAGTGGGAAAAGACACAAACTGGGAAAAACCAGGGATGAAGATGGACAGGATGTGTTACGTGTTTGAGACAGGTGGCTGGAAAGAAAATCAGCTGCAGGACAACTTAATACATTATGCGAGAAGTCAGTCTAATTGATAAAGTAGTTTTGTTTTATCACTTTCTAGGCAGACCACCAAATAGGAGCTGATAGGTCTGGACATTATCAAGTGTCTGCAGGAGAGAGAGGACAGCTGTGTTCAAATGCTCAAGTCGCACAATTCCGCACTCAGCAAAAGAGAGAGGGAGCCAAGTAGAGGGAGAAAAAGAATACAGAGAGTGTACTGTGAGCTCAAAGAAAGAGATATTGACGCGCGGCAGAGAGTGTAGGTAGGCTGGGAGACTTCATTCTGCACGGACGGACAGCACAGAGCCAAACAGTGAAAGTGAGATCGCTGGTGGATTGGAAGGCAGCGTGGCAGGTGCAAACGGTATCGAAGGAGAGGTTAGCTGTCAGATGGAGCATGAGGATGGAGAGATGAGAGATTCGCCCAAAGAGTGGAAAGTTTTGGTCAGGTACGCTGATGTGTTATCTTCATGTGAAAAAAGATACATATGTGAAGGTACTGTGGTCATTTATTTTTAATGCCTGTTGATTTCAGTGAAATCTTTGAACTGGTTTATCTGGCATCACCTAGCTTATATTTCTGCATGAACTCTTTTGTCGATCTTGACACATTTCCATCAACGCCAAGCAAAGAATGATGAAAGCAGACCTGTGTATTAATGAGGCTTAAAATGTAACTATTCAATAGAATTCTAAAATGATTTATCTTGAACGACGGTTAATGTATTTGTATAAAATTGAATATTATTGGATATGTCTTGAAACAGCAGTCTTTTGGACCATCTTGTGCACTAGTGATATATGCAACTGTTTTGCATACAAATATTGAAATTGTTTTTAGGCCAGATTCTCCTGTCATGTAATGTTGTCATTCACTATAAGGCCAGTATCGGTTTACCCAGTCTGAGTGTAAGCCTTGCTCCTAGGGATTCTCATACACTCTGTATTACTCACTTTGTTGTTGTTGCTTACGCTTTTTGTGCATTGGTTATTAATACGTGCTTAATGCTTACTTTCCATGATGAAGGTCTCTTTGCATGCAACAATGAAGCGTCTGTGTGCTGGACAAATCAACAGCCTTTTGGTCCCCAGGCTCTTTATAATTTTAAATTTTTTCATCGCTAGCCTCTGACCTCTTTACAAATGAGGCAGATTTTCGGAATATTTGAGCAGCTCTGTCCTCCCGCCTCCCCGCCCACGTCCCCTGACCTCTCCAGACCACATTCGCGGTTTTCTCTGTACCTTCATTGTTCTCCCTTTGAGCGTTTGTGCGTCCCTGTTGTTTATACACTTCAGTAGTACCTTTGTCAAATGCTGAAACGCCTGCACGGCGCCAATGTTTTCTCTAACGTTTTCACTTTCTACCCTCTCCGCTAGTTGTATTCTGGCTCGCGTAACCCTTGTAATGTGCCCCCAGCTTTCAGCCAGTCCCTAAAATATCGGACATTCCAGGTTCGCATTCCGTAAGATTGATTTTCCCTGACTCTCCCTGCTCCAAAGTCCTGCAGCTGTCACCTGTCCATCCTGTCAGGGATTGACATTGACTCCATCTCCCAGGGTTGGGCTTAGCATGTGCGTGGGAGGCGACCTCCAAGTCAACTGTGATTGCCTCATCTGCATCCTGGAGAATATTTACCAGTTTTCGCCTCCTTAGATTTTACATGTATTTTTAAAACATTAAATTCCTAGTCTGAAGCTTCATTGGAAATGATGTGATTTATGGTGAAGTGCATATATTTAACTTAAGTTGAACAGCTTATTGAAATGCTTCAGAAGCTGTTTATCCTTTCAACGCTGTAACCAGTATCTTTGTAGTTATTATAAAGAATCTTTAACACAGTGATATCAGTAAGTGATGTGATTAGGGGTCAACACAAATACAATTCTGATGAACATTTTGTTCAAAAGGCAATTTTTACCATTATCATGGTATTTAAAAACATAGGTTTTTCTCCTCAATCAAAACATTTTGCCACAGACATATTTGGCTGTGTACGGCCCGATTGACGATCCTTGGATGTGACAACACATGTTGTTATAAAACAAAATCTGCCTAACTTTTGTGTCACACTGCTGGTCAGGCTCAGCAGACATCTTTGCCAAATCAATACGCATGTAAGAGGACTCAGAAGACATTAAGCTGTGACACTGACAATCTCATGAAAAAGTACGATCTCTGTGGCAATTCCCTTATTGCTGTGCAGGAATTTCATGTGATATAAACTCAGGTCCGCACAGAACAAAACCCACTCCACAAGGCTTCTCCAAAATTTAGTGGCGAAACAGTGCCACTCCGTAATATCATGTATACTGTTACATATATAATGTATGTATACTGCAATAAAGTTACTTGGGACCGACCATGGTATCATATTTAATCTGGTGACTTCTATCAGATATTTCCTTAAAATAATTTTCTGCACATAGAAATATTTTTGTTCTATACATTCTTAGTCATGTGTAGGATGTATGTAACATTAAAACAGCCACATGGAAGAAGGAAATGCATAGTCAAATGAGTTGGGTTCCTTATGTGTTATAAATATCCACAAAATTTGGTAAATTAAAAAATAAAACAAATCAATGCAAGAAGGCAGGAATAATGTTCATATACATGATGTTTGATGATGATGCAGAGAGATTTGGTATTTTCATATATACTGGTGGTATGTTTTACATGTGGTATGTAGGGCAGTGTGTGGCTCAGTGGGTTAAGCCTGTGTACCTGTAATCACAAGGTCGCCGGTTCAAACCCAGCCTCAGCACATCTCTGGCTTGAGCAAGGCCCTTAACCGCCAGTTCCCTGGGTGCCCCAACAGGTGGCTGCTCTTTGCGGACAACTTACTCTTCAAAGAGCAAGTTGAGGGAGGTGTAAAATCAATTTCCCCACGGGGATCAATAAAGTATCTATTATGTGAAGTATGTTATGTATAATTTTGGTATTATAGTTAATTTTTATAGAAGTGACCAAATAAGTAAGGATGCATGATGACATGCATTTTTTCAATATAATACAGACTTTTTGTGACACAGCAGCCTTATTAAGCTTTTTCTCACGTTTTTGTTTGCATTACATTTAAAGGTCAATGGTTGATGATTTCACATTTCAGTGGATCTCCTGTTTTAATTTGATTTAAGGGTTGTTAAATTTTTGTACAACTGTTTGAGAGCAGAACAGTGCTAGGTGCATCCTTTAACTTAATTTGATCTTTAGTTGAAACAAATAAAGGAAAAAGAAGTAATTCAAACACCAGGGATTGATTCATGTAAACACGTTTAACTCACCGCATTGGTTTCCATTTTATGAGTTTTCTTTTATAAAGGACAGGCTTTAGTGTTGCCATTGTTCTGGTTCACATAAGTCAACTTGTTTCCCTCAGTATGCATTAGAATTCACTGTCTCTCACCATGGTCTCTCACCACGGTCTCTCACCATTCCCTTATTTAGGATGGCAGAGCAGGACAGAGTGAGCCAAGCCTCCAGTCTGGTCACCATCTCTGCCTTTCCTGTGCGGTGCAAGGTGTGTGTGTCCGGCTTCTTCACTCAAACCCACTAACCACTGTTGGGTTATGTCAGATGTCACCCTTACAGTGCCATTGGTGACATTCTTCATAATTCCTTCAGGATAAGGAATCCAAGGTGCATAATTTTGGAAAAAGAACCAGAGCTCTGAAGAGAGATCCGAACTGCCCGGTCGTGATCCGGGGATGGCTGTACAAGCAGGTACCATCCAGAGTGACCATTCAAAACCTGCTTATGCTCCATAAGACCAAGAGCAGATGACAGGTGCAATGACTGCACACTTATTCAGCATTTATTGTCTTACTCTATTTAGGACAGTTCAGGACTGAAGCTTTGGAAAAGAAGATGGTTTGTTTTGTCAGACTTCTGTTTATTTTATTACAAAGGTAAGTGCACAATTACATGTATTTCTGTCACTGCAGTAAAAAGTGAAGAATGCAGCCCTGAGGACATTCAGTCACTTGCATAAATGAAAGTTTGCATGGAACATGCACCAGCCAGTTTCACAAAGGATATTTGTTCTGGATAAGCTGGTTCTTACTCTTTTCTTTCTCTATCTGCCTCAGACAGCAGAGAAGAGGCAGTCTTGGGCAGCATCCCACTGCCCAGCTACAGGATTCTCTTCTGTACTCCCAGAGAATGTAAGAACAGGAAGTATGCATTTAAAGTAAGTCTAACAAGTTAGCATAAGTCACATAGGAAGCTGTCTTTGGGTTTCAGAAGCTACTGGATCAGTCTGTGTGATGAAGCGTCCGATGTTTCCGATGTACAGTCAGATGTAATTTTTCCACTGCCACCAAGAACCAAGCCGTACCTGAGCTGTACTGCGAACTGGCGGTTTTCCATTGTAAGAAGGTTCTGGACTTATCATGAGAAATTAGGATCCTTACTAAATGTTCAATGCTTTCCTCTGCTTTTGAATATTTAGATCAACTTTCTCTCGCTGGAACTTCCCCTAGACTTCATTGCTCAGGGTTATATCTTTTTAAATGAGTATGAAATGAATATATACTAAACATATACACCAACGAGCCCAAATATTATGACCACAGTGATCTGAAATGTATAATGTTGACTATCTTGTAAAAACATTGCATTATATCTAGCATAAACATGCGTGTCAAGGTCTGGGATATTTTAGACAATAAGCTAACACTCTGTACTCATAGTTGACATGTTGAATGTAGAAGAAATGGACAGCAAAGAGGCTTTTAAATTTAAATTGTGGGGTGTTCACAGTCATTTGTGGTGAGTACCTTCAGAGACCAGTCTGAAGAGGGAAAATCCATGATCCACCAACTGGGTGTTGGGAGGGGCAGCAGTCATTGATGCGAGATGTGAACAAAAATTATTCTGTATAGTATAAACCAACAGAAGGACTATGGTGACACAAAAGGTAGATAGCATAAGTAACGTGGATAGGGATAATGTGTCACAACACACAGTGCATTGAGCCCTGCTGCATTTGGGGCTACATAGCCATGGACTGGACTTCATAGCCATGAACTGGACTTCATAGCCATGGACTGGACTTCACAGCCATGGATTGGACTTGTCGGTCCAACACATCCCACAGATGCCTGACACATACCTGACTGTCCACATGATGCAACAGAAAATGGGATTCTTTTGTCCAGGAGACCTCCATCCATTGCTCCAAGGTCCAGTTCTGACACTCATGTGCCCATTGTAGGTGTTTTCAGCAGTGGACAGGGGTCAGCGCGGGCCCTCTGATTAGCCTGCGCCTGCAAATGCTACCATCTAATATATCCCAGACCTTACATACACTGCTTTCACTCGATAGTCATCATTATCCCCTTCATGTGGGGATGGTGGTAATGTTTTGGCTTGTTGGTGTGGTCAGAATGATGTGTAATTGACGTACCTCCCTGGCAGGCAGTGCACCAGGGCATGCGTTCCTACTTCTTTAGTGCAGACACTCAGGAGGACATGCTGGGCTGGGTCAGGGCCCTCAGCCAGTCAGCCTGCATGGACACGGAGGGCTCCCTGAACAGGTACCACTCGTTAGGGCTGCAACTCTGGACATCCTGATGTTCCTGAGTGCATCGTCTCCCTGGGTCAATAAGGGAGGGGCTTGTGATTCAGGTCTTCAACCAATCACAATCTTCTTTATATGACATGACCACATCGGCCCTTTTTTTCCCATTTTCAAACAAGCTAACAGGCTTGGTGCGATGTGTGTCTCAGTGGGATAACACTCTGTGCCTTTCATCGGAAGGTCATCGGTTTTTTTTAAGTCCATATTTGGGGCTCTTGAACAAGGTCCTTAACCTTGAGCAAGGTCCTTAACCCCCAACTTGTTACTGTTTTGTATTGTCATCATGAAATAAAGACGTGCCTTTACATTACTCCATACCACTTTTGCAGGTAAGCATGTTCCTATGTTTTGTATCTGTGACGTGTCTGTTAACAAATGGCTTGCGCAATAAAATGGTTACTTTAGAAATCCGTATACCTTGTTGTTTAACAGAAAATATTGGTCTTACTTAATGTGATGATGTCATAGAAGTAAGACTGTGATTGGTTAAAGAAATGTAACAGAAGAAGGCTCTCTCTTGTTGATGCAGGGATACACTGAACTTGGGAAAATCAGGATGTGCCCGCAGCTATCAAATATAATCACTTGCAAATATTCGGCTTGATGTTTTTTTTTCGATTATTCAAAAATTCCATATGTGCACAACATTACTGCTACCAATATTTTGAAAATGCTTCCACATTACGGTGCATTTGAGTAGTGCCAGTACTGCCTTGACTCACACATGCCATCTTTTCTGTTTACTTATTTGCATGTTATAGTGAATAGTGATACTTCATTAATCTCCATGGGGAAATTCTCTCTTCGCTTCATTGCATCTTGCTTTCCTTGAAACGCACAAACACATATGCAGGTGAGAGCAAGCTTGGGGTCACAGCCCAGGGTCAGTCAGCATGCGGTGCCCCTGTTGCTGGGTTCAGGGCCTGGTTCAATGGCCCATGAATGTGTGCCTGTTCTGCCGAGGCCGGGGCTCGAACTGGCAACTACCCGATCACAGGCACAGAGGCGTAGCAAGAAGAGTTGTACTGGCACACTGTGGTCATAGTATGAACTTCATAAAAAACTAGTTAATTAAATGTTGATTTTCATTCCGAAAACTTTTTACATTCATTATATATATATATATGTTGCAGCAGCATCCTCACTCATTAACTGCCGCCGTGACTCTGCCTCTGTGTTCTTCAGTCAAACTTTGCCGCTCGTCCCTGAATGGTCAGTTATTTGCTCCCTCAGGCGCTGCTCCAGTTTCCAGGATTTCACACAGCTGGGGGGCAGCAGTGAGTCACTCACGTTCTTTCACATGTCTTCTCCGAAAAACGGTCCCACCCAGCCCACGATGTACGGCAACGGGCCGCAAAGTGAATCCTGCAACTTACAGAAAGCAACAGCCGGGACGACAGACACACTCTATGAGGGGAAACAGGCCTTCAGGTACAGTACAGGCAGCACAACCTGCAACAGGAAGACCAGCTCCTGTTCATCTGTGTGGGAAATGTGCTTGGATCAAATGAGAGAAAAGGAGAGAACAATGGAGAGTCCTATTTGTATAACGATTACAGGCATATAGTGATGCGCTTATTGACTATATTTTTGTTAAACACATCATTCATGGATCTAAGAAGGTCACCAAAAATCCACCAAATTGGGACTGCAGACCAGTGTGAACTTATGTTAATTTTACACTGGAAACTATGCCGTGAATAGGAAAGCTATCAATGACTGTCTTGCCACAAAATAAAAATGTCTTAGAATCTAAGAAGACTCCTTTATATTCTGTAGTTTTGGAATGTGAATGAAATTCATATTTAATGAGTCATTTATAAATTATATGAATGAAAACTGTACATGATGCTAGGTGAATATTGACAGGATTTGGTTTTGAGTGGGTTATGGAAATTCTTTCCTTCTCTTTCTATGTCAGTCCATTACCAAGAACTTCAACACCTACAAGTTATAGTGGACCAAGAAGACGTGGCCAGTCTTTGAGCCTGGAAGGAAATGAGCAAGACAGCCACCATTTTATTTCCAGGATCCAAACCCCGCCACCCATTCTGAAATCGACCGGATCCAGACCTTTGACACCAAAGTGTCCACTAGGAACACGGCCACATACTCCAGTGGGCAGGGTCGACATTCGGCCCAATGATGACCACCTACTGCCACCTCAAAATATGGGCTATTCTCCTCCATCTGCTCAACGGGCGACCAGTCTGAGCTCAGTCACTCCTACCACAGAAAAAAGACTGCTTAAGGTGAGCGAAAGACCAAGGATGGGGGTGAAGCTGCTTATGGCTGAAGCCCCTGCATTCAGAGTACAAGCAACAACCCTGGTTGCATTTGCATAGTTGAATATCACATTTCAATATTTCATATCACCCTTTCTAACAATCCTATACTGCTTTCATCCCTCCCAAAATATATATATATTTTGGAGAAAACCTTTCCTGGCTGCATATGACTAAAATGAATGTTTCCAGATTATGAATTAGTATAACAGCCAGGTAAATGCAAGTTTGTATCACACATCATATTTTCTGCGTCTACAGAAATATACTGTTTAAACTAGAACAAAAAGCCTTACTTTATTTTCTTGCCTTGTTTTTATGGTTTGTGTTACAGCTTTTTCTATTTTACATACCTTACACTGCTGTCCACTGAAAGATAATAGATTGGCAAAAACTCTTATTTTGATTTACCACAAAGGAAAGGAGAGAATGTGACTAATCAGTGTACAATGTGGCATGGAAAGAGAGCAGGAGCCCAGCCTTCAGGGGACAGACATGGGGAGACGAGGTCAAAGGTCACATCAGAAGGGGAAAGCCAAAGGGAATTGTGGGAAAGCATCACTTATGTGCATAATTAGCTCATCCTGTGTTCATTTTCCTTTCAGCCCCCCCCACACTTCTCGCCTCAGCCTCATGTCCCTGTCATGCGAAGAGGACCAGGAAAGGTAGGGTTACAGATCTATCCACTGGCTCTCCTTTGTGTGTCCACCATTTCTGGTGCATCCTGACATGAAAAACTGGCACGAAAATGGGCTCTGAGGATACAGATTGTCAGTTTTGTGGATACAAATACAACTGTGCTATGATAATACTAATGCATGAACAATGTTCAATTGTTCAAGTCATTAGGGTCTTTATTGTCAAGCCATCTAAATATACTTCACAACATACAGTGGAACAAAATACAGTCAGTCCTACTACAACGCGTGGCACCACAAATGTATTCTAATGCTTCTGATATATTAGCACCCAAGTGCAATACAACATGGAATGACAATTGTATTTGAGTGATTTACAGTCTGAGAGAAAAGCACTATTCGAACTACAATGTAATATGGTCTTAGGGAGAAACACTACTTGCACTCAAAAACAGCTATCCAAGTGAACGACAGAGATGTCCAATTCATGAACGAATCATTCTTTTGAACCGGTTCTTTTCAGTGAATCAGTTGAACAGGTTGTCAAATGTGTAAGAATCACACGATTTGAACATCCACACATTGCACACCTTAGAGTCTTAGATTCTAAACATCGGAAAATATTGGGCAAATTATCACAGAAAAACACACCAAAATGTTTTTTTAATTAATGTACCTTTTTAATTCACTTTTCAGTTACTAAGTTTTGTAGTTGCATTCCCCAACCCTATTTTTCCCACTGGGTATGTGTTTGCAATTTTAGTGAACGTGAGGTTTTTCAGGAACGCATTAGTCGTGCTGTAACAGGACTGACTAGAAACATTCCCCAGGACCGTGGTGCAGCATATATACATAAAGTGCAGAAACTGGAAACAAGATGAGTGCAGCACATGAGGGAGAGGGGAAATATTACATACCAATGCCACTCACTAATGCATTATCAACCTAGTTTCCACCAATAAGCATGCAGTATGCATTTTACTTTCAACACATTTGTGATATACTGCACCATAAATGTGACTGTGTAGCTAGGAATTAAAGTTGGCTAGGGAACACTAACATTTCATTAAATGAGTATGCACAAAACAGGTTCACTAACAATTATAATTTACCTCCTATCAGTCACTTCAACAACCATTGCTCAAAAATTTTACATGATGGCCATATTAATACCTGTTCCAGTTAGTGATGCATGCTGGGATTTTTTTAAATGAATTGTTTCATCAGAGCATACTTGACTGCGAATTTTTCGTGGAACACAAGTATTTCATATGCGTGACATATTTATGAATTTTTCAGTATGAACAAATTACTATTCAAGTGTGCAGTTTGAGACTTGGTCTGGAACTCGTCTGGCTCTAGTTTTGTTTTTATGAGATTTATAAGCTTTATGTAAGCTTTTAAAATAAATGTTTTAAAAGTTCTGTTTAAAATACAATCATACATAATGGTTCACACTTAATGCTGCTTCCTTATGCTCTGTCAGGGTCCTGTCATCAGCCGTTCCACTGTATTCCTGTAGATTTACCTCATTCTTTTCACCATAGGCCTGCTCTCATGGGGGGCATGCTGGCTCGTTGCCTCCTTTGCCACCACCAAGAATTGCCCCAGCTGCTCCCCCACCTCACCATCACCATCACCACCACCACCACCGCAGTCCAATGTCTGCCTGTCTGCTACAGCACGCTATGGTACAGTTTTTATAATGTATCTGATTGGTTGATCCAGTCTCTGTTATCTGATTGGCTTCTTTGTCTGTCCAGTATGGGGTGGTTTTTATGTTGGTGTTTCACCTAGTGGGTGGTCTTCGATTCACAGTTCATGTGTACAGTTAGTTTTCTGCCTTTTATGCCGGTGTTCCTACATCGAAATGAGTCCGCTTATTCTATTTGCACTGATAATATTAAATTTTGAGATGATGCACCATGCAGAATTTACACACATCTAAATGACATGTGGAATCTGCATGGTATACCTTCTGTGTGCATGGTTGTTTTCCTTACTCTTCATTAGAATGGGCCAAATCATTACATAATCAAGCAAAAACACATATGAACTCCATCAGACTAAACATATGATGCTTTGTTTGGCTTTACATTTCATGTTGTTACTTTTTATAGAAAGAAAGGCATTCACCCTCACATAGACCAATAGCCATATTCATACCAGTGTTTCTCAACCCATTCCTCAAGGATCCCCAGTCAGTCCACATTTTTGCTCCCTCCCAGACAGTCCACCTTTTTGCTCACTCCCAGCTCCCTGCCAGACAGTCCACATTTTTACTCCCTTTGAGGCAAAAACATGGACTGTCTGGAGGTTCCCAAGGACCAAATCAAGAATCACTGATTTTTTGAGATCTAATAAAACAAATACCAATATTATAGAGGTATTGTACATAAAAAAACACATTTCTGACCAATAAAATTACATTTTTAGCCTTCGCCCGCAGACTTCTACCAGGACAGAGATCCATTTAGACCCGTAGAATTGGATGTTGATGTAAGTTACATTTCCACTCATTTTATCAGCTAACACTTGCCAGTGATTTCAGTTATAACTAACACAATGATGTTTTTGGGTAATTTCTTTGGTACAATGAACATTGGACCTCATTCGCCAATATTTTCTTAAGAATTCTTTTAAATTTGTTCCTACGAATTTTTTTTAAGAAAAACCTACATCGGATTCATGACGTGTTCTTAAGTAGCAGAATTGTTCGCACCTTTGTTCTTAAGAATGGTGAATCCCACGTCTTCGTAACTGAAAGCGCGTGCCAGTTTGTCCTAATTAGCATAAGGAAACGCCCTGCAATTTCCCATAAAAGGACATGAGACTGTAGGGCCGTGTGCAACGAATGGCGAAGAGGCGCGCAGGCTGTAAGCCGCTTGGCACTAAGAGAAAAAAAAACTTCAGTAATGCTGAGGTCGAAGTATTAATACAGTAAAATCCCGTTATAGTGGACTCGCTTATAACGGAATATCGTCTATAACGGACGAGGTCCGCTGGTCCCCGCCGTGCGCCTTTAAGAACATGCAGAAAACGTATCGGATATAGCGGACTCGCATATAACGGAATTTCGCTTGTAACGGACAAATATTTATTTAGTCCACAGGGCCGCTTTTAGCTGTAGTTTTGTTCGTCTATAACGGACATGCAGCTCCGCCTACAAGGCGCGTGGCGTGCCGGTGATATCCAGCGCAGATACGGAGTCGGGATTATTACTGTAATAGTCACGCATCTGGTCAGGTAAAGTTGGATTACTACGTGTACAATATAATAATCTATATCACAAGTGTGTCTGCTGGGGTGTGGCATGAGTAAATGGTGTCCTGTAGTTGTGTTCTGTGCATACAGCAACTCTGGATATAACGGACTGTTTTGCCAGGTCCCTTTAAGTCTGTTATAACTGGATTTTACTGTACAGGGGGTAAATGCACATAGACACATGTTATTTAGTAGCGTATACCAGTGGATACAAAGCCCCCAAGAAAGCTGATACATGGAGAGATATCACCTTCTCTTTGAGCGCTGTGTACCAAATAAATCTAAATGATCTTCAAACATGCGTTCCCTTCTCAGAGCACTATTGGCAAGTTCTTCAAGAAGTAACAAATGCCATTTTGATAGCAAGGCCAATGCGCAGAAACAGACCTATTGAACGCATGATCGCCGTTACTACCATGAAAATAATTTTTACACTTAAAAAATATTTTTTATATTTTGCTTTTATAAATTATTCAAATACTCTCATTTTATGAACTATAGAATGAACAAAACTGCTATAACCGATTATTTTGAACAAACTATCATTACTCAAATGTGCGTACGAATGGTCTTGAGTGTGCGTAGATTCTGTTCTTAGCGAAGAACAAATTCAGATAAGAAAACATTGGTGACTGGCAGAATCTTCGTAAAAAAAAAGTGCGTACGTGGGGTTTAAGAACAAATTCGTTCGTAACAACGGTTGGTGATTGAGGCCCATTCTTCTTTGTTTTAGGCAATCCTGACAAGAATCTGTGGCTGTGATAAGCTGCTTCAGGCACTTTCCAAAGAACTGGTCCAACTTCAAGCAGACAAGGTTGGTTTTGAGTGGGGCCAGGATGTACAAAAAGTACAAGGAATTTATTTTGGTGCAGGTGGTGACATGAAGTATTCAATTAAACATACAATCAAGACAAAAAGTACAAAAGAAACAATGAACAGAAAAAGGTAAAAATGGAAATGAATAGAAATAAAGGTGCACCAATACAAAATAAACACATATACATACAGTCATACATACTATATGTACAGGTAAATGTGGTCATGGATATAGGGAACAAGCAGCTTTGGGGTACCCACATGTAAATAAGTTTATAAGTTGTCATGAGTCTTTATTTATGAGGGCAATGGTCTAGCAGGAGGGTGTTCAAGTGGCGATTGGTCCTGGTGCTCAGGGCACTTATGCTCAGCTTTTGCTGAGAAGGGAAAAGCTTGAAGAGGAAGTGACCAGGGCTTCAATGTTATTTCCTGTTTTCAACGTCCCAGGTGCATCCATAGCAGTAGTTCCTACCCTGTCCTACCCGTAACTGAGCTACGTCATCTAAGGCTTTATCATTTGTTAATAAGTGAAATCAGGTGTGGTGGTGGGAGAGCAGAACAGAATTATACTACAGAAAAAACGTTTAACCTGGCAATGTTGGGACATAAGCACTGCCAGATAGCTGAATTTCCCAGATATTGAATATTACTCTTGAAATGTCAGATGAAATCTGATAAAAAAACAAGATTTAAATAATGATGGAACAAGTAGAAAGACCACTAAAGTATGGTGCTCCATAGGCATGCCCAAGGAGCTGACATACGTATTCCACTATTTTCTTTGTTATTTTTTAGTTTGGGTGCATTTTAATAGAATAGTGTTATTACTTGTCATTATGAATTTTTAAATTTTATACAGATTTTTTTACGTACATATATACCGTACACAAAAAATGTCTTGGGATGCTTGCTTAATTCAGCAAAAATATTGTAAATGTATTGGCTTTATAACAAAAATCATTAATTTATTCATTTGTTTGTGAAAAATATATATCAGAGTAGAGACAACCAGTAGTTTTAAGTAAAACATTTACTTTAAGTAGTAATAAATTGAAACACAAATTACAGTTGTAAAAAAGCTGTTCTGAGCCAAAAAGTTCACCAACAAGCAGTCTCATTGGGTGCTTTTTAAATAGCAACACCTTAGCAATAACATAAAACACCAAATATTTGTGTTTAGTAAACCCTGACTACAATTACAAAATAGTAAGAACAGAACTAAATGAGTCAGTCAAAAAACATAGGACACTTAATAAAAAAATCTCTGTGGAAAATATGTGCAGATATGTTAAACAATGCTAGTCAATGGATTTTTGTTATGGAACCAATAAATATGCTACGCCTTTGCAGAATTATGTCCCATGGCTTTCTGTGAGCACTGTATATGACTTTGACTTAAGATTCTGACCAATTTTGCTCAGTTCTTTCTCTGTCTTCTCTCAGGACAATGTTCAGTGTGCTTTGGAGATGACAAGGCTGCAGCTGGACGACCACCTGGCTCAGGGGCTCGGTGTTCAGGGAAAGGATGGGCTGTCCCAGAAGGGTTTTCTCCAGGAGGAGCTGGTCACTGTCAGAGCCAGACTTTGTGATATTTCTGTGGTAGGAAGTTTTAGAAGGACTTTGCCTCTGTTTATATTAAACTAGAAGAGATTGATATTGTCACAGAAGGTTTCCAGTTTGTTTACAGGCATCTTACATGCTGAATGTAATTTTTTGTTATTTCAAAATTTGATGAATTTGATCCTCCTCGATCTAGCTAAAGAAAAATTGAAACATTTGTGGCCTCTTCATTTTTGGCCCCCTCCCTCAGGAAATGGAGAAGGTGTGGAGTCAATATGAGAGGATGGAGAGTGAGCTGTCGGTCGTTCGTTCACATCTTCAGCACATCTGTCGATTTGGAAAGCCACAGGTCTCCTCTCCTTCTTTGTTTTCTCTTTTACATCTCTGTAATGCAGTGACAGCTGTGGTCTTTCAAACAGGGGGAGCTGGTTAGTCCCCTGCCCCCGAAACCTAGTTTGAAATAAAATAGCGCACTTTACTAACCTACTAACGAACGACCTTACTAACCAAACAAGGAGCAAACTCAAGAATGTATGCAGTATTTTTTTATTTGCAGTAGGATATGTACAAATCAAAATCCAAAAAAACGAAAAGGCTTCACTTGCCGAAAATCTGTATGGGATTTCACTTGAAATGCTCCGATGCAATGATGAAATGCTTGAAGTATAATTTCAAAATGCTGTCAATCAGAAAGAGGCGCAGCCGCTTTGACAGTTCCTCCAATCATCATGCAGCAGCCCAGTGTCCTGGCCAACCCACTGTCCCATTCACTCCCAGAGACACTAATCTTCCCTGAAAATTACATCTTCAAGCATTTGTCCAATAAACGTCTAGCTTTGCTGCATTAAAAACAAAAGTGCCATTGAAGTCCAGTGAAGCTGCACTGAAATTAGGTTTTTTAAATAGTGCTGCCTCAGGAATGTAATTATGAGAGAAAAAAAAACATTTTAGATGACCTGCGAGAAATTATTGCTGATTCTGAAAGAATTAGCCATGAAGTTGAACATATTCTAGCACGCTTTTTGTAATAGCCATGTACATACAACAGTACATATTTGACAAATTTTTTTGTGGCATTTTAGAGGAGGCAGAGCATTCCTTGTAGTCTTAGAGCAGTTGCCACCGCTATAATGCATTCCTCTGTGTAGCAGCATGCATGTCTTTCAGTGTTTCACCACCCAGCTTTCAGACTTTTTCAGTTTTATTGATTGCATTTTCAGGAACAGTCCCAAGCCCAGAGAGAGCTGTGGATGACGGAGGATATTCTTTGTGGCCTCAGGGCCAACAGGAATCACTTTCGGGCTATACTGGCATCACAGAGGCAACATACAGGTAACATATGATTTTGGGACCGGTCCAGCTCTGCTGCCACAGACACTTTCTCATTAATGCAATAATTAACGTATTTCGCAGATCTTTCTCAGACTTTGCAGACATATTTTCTGGGTGAAATGGATTGAATTTTGAGACACACCACCCCAAAACTGAAGCAGCTCCACAGAGTGAGAGCAAAGAAAAGGGCAATTAGACACATGATCCCATAAACATGATAACTCAAAAAGTTGTAGATGGATCTTTCTCAGGCTTTTTATGGGTGACCAACTTGGACTGCAATCAAATTTTGAGACAAATTAGCCCAAAAACTGAAGCAAAGTCACTTAATGACAACGGGGAAGGGCGACTGCAGATGACATTTGTGAATGTGTGATAAGTCAAAACGTATTTTATGGATTTTGCTACTGCTTGACAGAAACATTACGTAGATGAAGATCTATGCCTGATATCATTTTCAGACAAATTTCCCTTAATAAGAAGCAGTAGTTCTTACAGTATGTGGCTTCAAAGAGAGGAAATGGGGGCTATACAGTTGGTCTTGTGAACACAGAAACTCAAAAAGTACAATAGGACCCCTGTGTCCACAGTTTCTCTAACCACGGTTTCAGTCAACTGTGGTTTACCGGTTCACAGTCTGAAAAACAAATTCCAGTAACAGCTCAAAGATTTTCATGCCAAGCAAGCACAGACTGTAATTTAGTGAGTGCCCACGATAGGCTAAGATATTCTTAACAAATTTTTCTCAGTACATGTTATGTACGAGCACATAGTTACAGGCTGCCATGCTTACTCCTCTGAGCATTTGGTAAAAACACATTTATTGGCTTTCAGGGGGTGACGGGTGTCGGGGGAATACACTGTTGTCGTTCTGACACCATCTTTTCTAGTTACACGATTGATTTGTAAGTGATCCTTCCACAATATCAGTAGTTAAAGTGCTAAACAAAATGTTGAATTTGCCTGTCTTTGCCTTTGCCAGTACTTCAGAAGGGTGCCCTTCATCATGAAGGACCAAGACCTCAAGTGGACAGATCACCGAGTGGCATCCCTATGGTATGAAGCATTTCTTTTCATGTATTTTGGGGTGAGCTTGCTCTGAACTGCGAGACTAAAGTCTGTTTCTTTCCTAGCTGTCAAACCTAAACATGTTTGAAAGCTTAGAGAGAAACTTGCACTTTCTAAATCTAGCATGTGAAAGTGTTAATGTCACCGTTTTGCATTTGAGTTTAAAGAAGTACCGGGAGGCTTAATTGGGATACAACTAAATTTGCTGAATTCTCTTTTAGCTTGACATGGAAATGGTGAGTAAATTCAGGCATCACAATATGCTCTCCTTATATGTAATTTAGTAAGTATACCTGCTAACCTCTTACTGCAGAATTTTACTAGTTTTATGAATGAAATCTACAAGAGATACCTGCAAACAGACAGGAAATTTGCTCCGTATGTGAACACAATATCAGGAAGACTATATTCCAAATATGAGTTTAACTCGATAGCATTCAAAATATTTTGTTAATCACAATGTATTGAGTACTCATATAAAAATAACTATAAGCACTCGTAATTCTTGAAGAATTTTTAATGGTTTCATTCCTTTTTGCCTTTTTTGCAATATGTGTCCAGTCAGGTGTTGGTTCTATCTTTTCTGTTTCCCTCTTGCGCCAATTCACCACATCACTTTCTCAGCCTTTATGTGTCCACTTAATGGAAATGTTCTTTGAGGCTAAATGATGTATGTGCCTGTTGGCAGGAATAAAGCTAATGAGCTCATCTTTAGCTACTGATAGCGCTTTTATACTTGCAAGTCCAAAAACTGGCGAGTTTACATTATAAATTTTCCAAAGTGTTTCCAAGCCAACCCTGTGTCGATATGCATGGATTATCTGATGGAAAACTGCCATATGCTATATATTATACATTATATTATATATATTATATATTATATATATTATAATTCATTATTAATCTAATATATAGTTGAGGTACTCATGCATTCCTGATAACTCATAACTTGAAAACTTCCAACCTTCTACTTAAAAAAAGTACTACAGAACAGTTTACACAAGCGAATGGTAATTCTACTCACTGATGATGTGTCTGGGTGCATCAAATAGTGTATTTTCAAATCCAGTAGTGTTTGATGCTAACATAAGACAGTGATTCTCACAGACTTGATACTGGAAATCAGCATATAGTAAATCATAATGTACACTGTGTGAACAGTAAGTAATTGCCTGTTTGGTTTTACGTCACTATCACTCTCCAAACCCGGGACAATTCTTTCACCAAGCTGACCTTTCTGCAGTGGAAAACCAAAATGAGCTGAAACTAGTGTCTCTTTGAGGTATGGCTCAGTTCCTGTGTGCCAGTGGAAAAGTGCCATGAATGAACCTCTCCACTCTCTACTGTGGACAGTGAACACCTTTGGGTGTCCAGGACTCAGTTAGTTGGTTTGAGTACTAAATTTTGCTTCTTATACTAAGTACGGCTGAACTGTACAGTACAAATGAAAATTATTTTCAATGAACTCTATAAATTTATTTAACTTTATTATGCTTTTTTACATAGAGCACTTTTCTACATAATTGTATAGAAACACAGCACAACTGAGCAGAAATATGAACATATTGACCTAAATGCTAAAGTTAATTAATGGTCTCTCTATGGAATTCTCAATGTGATTTTCAGTCAGTGAATTGTCTATAAATGTTTGCTCAAAATCTAGGAACAGACCTGTAAATGATATTGCAAACTGGCTCATTTCTAAATCAAATATTTCATACTGAGGAGGTGGAGTTGGAGCCCCCTCCGCGCCCCCCCTTACCCCAGGAGGTGCAGGAGACCGGGCTGAGGCCAGGCTGGCTGGAGAGGCAGGCTGAAGTAGAGGTGAGTAACAGTTAGTCTGATTGACTTATCAAAGTGGGTCGATAACAATATTTACAAATAAAAGGGGAAAAGCTCTTTGTGTTGTGTTTGTCAGATAACCATTCTACCAAATTGATGAAATAGATATTCCAGGCTAGTGTTTCCCAACTCAGTCCTTGGAACCCCAAGACAATCCATGTTTTTCCTCCATGTTTTGTGTAGGTTTCCCTAACTCCCAGTAATAAAAACATGGACTGTCTGGCAGGGAGCTGGGAGTGAGCAAAAACTGTTTGACGGTCCCCCAGGACCCCACTCACTCATCCGCCTGTTCTCTTTCCTCTTTGCCTCTCGCAGGTATTCTCCAGTGATCTGTCCTCCTGCCATCGGTCACTAGATCGAACAGGAAACAGCCTCACTGTTTTACCTAGAGAAAAAAAGCAGGCAGACATAATGCCAGGTGACCTCGCACTGCCTTCGCTTTCAGTCTCATTCAGCTTATAACTCCTTGCAAAAGTGTCCAGAACATTGTTTTTTTCCCTTTAAGACTCGATTCATGCCATTTCCTTTAAGACCTAATATTTTGTATAAATATAGCTTACTTCATGCATATCTAAACAAGAACAACTGACAATTAAATTCTGTTTTTGATGAAACTATGAAAAAGTAAGAATGCTTTGCAATGCACTTTCAAATGCTTGTATACTTTAAGCCACTATATGTAACTGTCAAACAAAGAAATCAATATCTGTTTGATAAAATCTCCATATGATGTAAAGAAGAAATCACAAACGTTTGCTGTTTTTTTTCCGTGTTTCTCTCACGCATTTCTCTGGTGTAGCGTAACATAAATTGTTAGGCACTGTGAATCTCAGCATGCATAACAGAGTACTTTACCCAGATGAGATCAAATGTAAGACTTGTGACATTTGAATGATAGGCAGACAGGTGACACTGACTTTGCTCTCTCTCTCTCTCTCTCTCTCTCTCTCTCTCTCTCTCTCAGCTACCCTGCCTGGTTTTACTTCCTCCAGCTGGGCTACATCCGACACAGCAGCTAAGGTGAAAGTCCTGTTTCCCGTTAGCAGACATCACTGCATTTGCAAAGCATTTAGCCAAGAAGCAATGAAATGAAATATTGTATGAAATGCTTTATAAAAGCATTGTGAAACGCTGATTTATCAGCTACTTAATCTACTTTCAGACCTTTGCTTTGCATCTGAAGCATGAAATGATGTATTTAGTGACTGTATCTGCTCTTTGTTACCCAGCAGGCTGAGCAGGCCTCGTTTTTATAATACGTTTAATGCCCAAACACTAGGATAAAATATTTAATATCTACTGTCATAAAAAGCATTTCCCCTCTATGGACAAAACTGAAATAAAATATATCAATATGACTGAAAGATCTGTTTGTGACAGGCAAGTGTGAATTCTATTGACTCGATGCTCTCCGTATAATTTGGTTCCCTGCAATACCCAAACTCAGCACAAGATGACAGTAAGCGCATTAAGTTGAGGCCCTTTAATGCGTCTTTTCGTGTTAATAGAGCTGCTAATAAGAACTCCTTTAACTCTCATGTTAATTTGTAACTGATAAGAGTTAATTGGTTTATTAATTTAGCGAGCAAGGATGAGTGAGGAGGAGCAGAGAGAAAGAATAAGGAAAAACCAAGAACGGCTATCAAATCAGAAGAAAGAAGCTTTGCCCACAGGGATTAACCACATTCAGTATCAAAGATCATCTCCGCCCAGGGAAGAGGTAACTATTTAAGCAAACTGAGATACTCAGTTGAATAGCAGGCACACACAACAGTCCACGGTTTAATAGAAACACAACCAAATCAATAGCTTACTCTATTAATATACTTTGTTGTTTGCAAGGTAAAGTGTCCATGATGAAATGAATGACTGTGCAAAGCAAGAAGCTTACAACAAAAATGTATTTTGACAGTATTATTAACCCTGTCCAGCCAAAATGAAGCTTGATTTGCATCCCTGTGACATGGCTTAACTCAAACAGAAGTGGTCTTAGGCTGTGCAAGTGTGAAGGAAGGACAGTAAATTTGTCAGTACGTTCTGCTACAATGAAAGATATGTGCACAATCAAGTACGGTGAATGCTTTAAGAACATAAGAACTTTATACTCGTATTGTGTGTATTGCTAATGTAGAGCTATTTTTACCAATACAGTGATATCATTTAGTTTTATAGGTATGGTGAGGTGGCCTTAGTGTAATGCACATGGAGAGTTTGAATTCTTACAATGTATTTTTTTGTGTAGGTTTCTTGTGTATGTAACTTTCTTTTATTTTATTTACCTCTCTGTGGTACTTTAGCCGCCCCTTCCCATCAGAGTGACACGAGTCTATACTGCCGTCTTGCCATCTACCCTGATAGCTCGACGTGTGTCAGTTGAAGACCCCCCTTCTGAGTTGGTCAATCCCTTCCCACAGCAAATCTCCACCGGGACACCTTTTTCAGAGCTTGACCAAAACCAGAAGTCACTCTTACAGGAGACAGTGAACCAAAATTCCCCGTGGCTAAAACCAGACAGAGCAGACGATCAATCTTATCAAAGATTGCCATCTGATTTATCATCAGAAATTTTTGAGGATAGACCAGGTATGTCTCACACAGCCAAAGGACTGTCAAAACAAAAGAAGCAGAAGCTTGCAAAAGAAGAGGACTCACAATTACATAGCCATAACCACAGCAGTATTCCATCCAGCCAAAGCCCAGAAGCAGCTGAGCAACATTTAAAAGATGTGGCTAAATTAGAAGCTGAAAAGGTGCTCTGGTCCCAGACAAATGACTGGACGGCATCAGAATGTGGAATTTTGCCTTCTGATGATGGAGCTAAACTAGAAGATGGGGGCCCTGGCTTAGCAAGAGTGACGCTGGGAAATGGAAGAAGAGAAAAGGTATGGGAATCCATGGATTCAAATGGCAGAGTGGGACATGCTGCTACGTAACTGTGCCACAATGTCTGCCGTGTGGTTTGATTGGGATTTCATCATTATAAATGGTCAGTTACTCATCAATTAGCAGCAGCTGTGATTAATAAGCAAATGAGTATTTTTAATCAACAAACAGTGCAGAAATGATCAGAACAATGTCTAAGGACTGTGCAGAAAAAGCCTTCCAGCCTGTACCCAGTGGTATAGCTCAACTTAAAGCTGTGACTAAGTAAATTCTCTCTCTTCGTCCTTTCTCTGAAGCCCGGAATTCGAGCATCCCTGCTAGCTGCTGATCCGGGACTCGACCTTCGTCTGACTCCAGAGCAGAGAGAAGCAAAACTTAAACGGGTGGAGAGGATCAGGGAACGAGTAATAAAAAGGTGCATGTCCATTTCTCCATGCATCCATATCTGTTTTTAATCAGACTTCTTTTCATGTGGACACATCACTGAAAATCTGGGTCCACTGAGAGTTTTAGACAGACTATACTAATATACTGTCTATAGACTAACTATACTAATATATTATGCTACTCTACTAATATAGGTATGCATCGATAAACGTTTGGGTTAGGCCATGTGAATGCTATGGAAATATCATATACACTCACCTAAAGGATTATTAGGAATACCTGTTCAATTTCTCATTAATGCAATTATCTAATCAACCAATCACATGGCAGTTGCTTCAGTGCATTTAGGGGTGTGGTCCTGGTCAAGACAATCTCCTGAACTCCAAACTGAATGTCAGAATGGGAAAGAAAGGTGATTTAAGCAATTTTGAGCGTGGCATGGTTGTTGGTGCCAGACGGGCCAGTCTGAGTATTTCACAATCTGCTCAGTTACTGGGATTTTCACACACAACCATTTCTAGGGTTTACAAAGAATGGTGTGCAAAGGGAAAAACATCCAGTATGCGGCAGTCCTGTGGGCGAAAATGCCTTGTTGATGCTAGAGGTCAGAGGAGAATGGGCCGACTGATTCAAGCTGATAGAAGAGCAACTTTGACTGAAATAACCACTCGTTACAACCGAGGTATGCAGCAAAGCATTTGTGAAGCCACAACACGCACAACCTTGAGGCAGATGGGCTACAACAGCAGAAGACCCCACCGGGTACCACTCATCTCCACTACAAATAGGAAAAAGAGGCTACAATTTGCACGAGCTCACCAAAATTGGACAGTTGAAGACTGGAAAAATGTTGCCTGGTCTGATGAGTCTCGATTTCTGTTGAGACATTCAAATGGTAGAGTCAGAATTTGGCGTAAACAGAATGAGAACATGGATCCATCATGCCTTGTTACCACTGTGCAGGCTGCTGGTGGTGGTGTAATGGTGTGGGGGATGTTTTCTTGGCACACTTTAGGCCCCTTAGTGCCAATTGGGCATCGTTTAAATGCCACGGCCTACCTGAGCATTGTTTCTGACCATGTCCATCCCTTTATGACCACCATGTACCCATCCTCTGATGGCTACTTCCAGCAGGATAATGCACCATGTCACAAAGCTCGAATCATTTCAAATTGGTTTCTTGAACATGACAATGAGTTCACTGTACTACAATGGCCCCCACAGTCACCAGATCTCAACCCAATAGAGCATCTTTGGGATGTGGTGGAATGGGAGCTGCCCTGGATGTGCATCCCACAAATCTCCATCAACTGCAAGATGCTATCCTATCAATATGGGCCAACATTTCTAAAGAATACTTCCAGCACCTTGTTGAATCAATGCCACGTAGAATTAAGGCAGTTCTGAAGGCGAAAGGGGGTCAAACACCGTATTAGTATGGTGTTCCTAATAATCCTTTAGGTGAGTGTATACTGCTCACAAGTGTATATCGTATACTGGCCCTATACTGTACCTGTGCTGCCAAAATAACCAAGATAGTTTATACTAACTAATATAGTACTTCAGTGTAATAAAGCTGATAAGTAATACATGTACACTGTATTAGCACCACAAAGTGAGAGAGACAGTACACGTCAAAATAAGGATTAAAAAGTACATAAAAGCATAACAAACATTTATTTTCGCTTTCAACTATTATGGGTACTGGTATTGTAAGTTAGATAGGCCTACGTACTGTACCAGTGTACAGGTGGCAGTACGATCATTTTGTTCATACCAGATACACATGGTGCACTATGGCTGCCTACATCTGCTGTGTCTCGTTAGCTGATCAGGATTTTTCAACTCTTTGTTGTTGGACACTGTGTGGAAGGATGTTAAACAACACATAACTATACTATACTGTACTGTACTACACTATACTACACTGCCATACAAAGGCAAAACACTGAATATTTTATGAAAAGTGATTTATGACTGAAATTGAGTCTCTTAGGTTCTATTTTTATTTATTTTTTTGTTCAACTAAGCTCAATTTTAGGGGCAGTGGCATACACATGCACACACTACTCCCTGGGTGCTAAATAATTGCTAACCTCTGTTATGTGTCAGTGTCACATATGGGTTAAATGCACAGGATACATTTCATTGTGTGCTGTAGTGTGTCAAGAATGATGATTAATCACTTTTTAATAACTACAGTATCATTTACCTATCTACTACAGGTACGAGGTATGAGTGGACATTACAAAAATTTCAAAGCCTTTTTTCTTATTCTCATTGTCAGCATAGTTAGTGTTTTGCCAGATTAGGGCAGTATACCGCACTGTATATACTATACTGCAATGTACTATATTATGCTGTATTTTTGTCATAGGAGCTGAAAAGTAGGTCTTAGCATTCAGCATTCAGTTTCAAGTATTCATCTGCCTGTTAACCAACCAGTCTTGCGATCTTTCTCTCCCTCTCTCTCTCTCTCTCTCTCTCTCTCTCTCTCTCTCTCAGTGCAGCCAAAGAGAGCATTATGCATCCCCTCTCTCCACCGCTAAGGGGCAACAGAGAACATATTGTCAACTTGTCTCTCAAGCTGGCAAATAAGGCTTCAAAAAAGAGCAAAGGAATGGCAGGTGAGACTTTAATACAGTGGCAAATTATTTTAATGCAGTAACTTCAACTTAATATAGTGCCAACACCCAAAATCATCAGATTCAAGAAAAACATTTAGATTTGGATTATAATTATAATGCTTATAATAAAATTATACATATTAGTTGTATGGTATTGTGATAGGCTACCTGATCACTGGTGTAACTGTGGTTTCAATTAACCTTGCTCATTCTCCTTTTAATTATCAGCTTGCTCTGAAGTTTCTGATGAATGCCAGGTTACTGAAAACCTGGACTGTGGTGGTGGTTGCTATAGTGATGGGAATCCTGAACTTGGCCTTAGAGTTACAACTAAGCCCAAACCTAGCAGAATCCCATCAATTACTGGTAATAAAGGAAGACATAGTTTGAAAGGAACAGGAGGTTTGAAAGATGCTGCGAACACTTTAGGGAAGACACCCATCAATAATCACAGCAAAAGCTTGGATGTCACATGTCATGCTAGAAATGTCTCTCCAAATCAATTAAATACAACCAATAATATCACCGCACTCCTAGTGTATCCAAAAAATATGGATCAGCAGTCGGTCCAAAAGGAAGACAATTCATATCCATTCCATAATAATGAAAATGAGGAAGAAGGCAACTCTGTCAGTCAGAAAAGTCAGTTCAACAGTAGGAGGACAGAATGGTTTCTTTCAGACAATCACAAAGTAGAATATATACCTTTAGTGAATCAATTTAAAGAACCAAATTCAGGTGACAACACCACAGATCAAGGCAACACATACTCTCACTTAATGTGGCAACCAGCGATGATGACCAGTAACAAAATAAAATGTCTGCAGTTTTCATCCAAACAGAAGGTCTCAGAAGTTGATATATCTGTTGTATCCCCTGATTCTACTGGGAAAATGGAACAACGATCAAAAGATCCCACCACCCATCATGTGCCAGCTCACCAAAGCTTAGTACATCATGCCCAAAGTTCAACAGCTGACAATTTAATATATGAAATTAAAAATTCTGATGAGAGTGCTGCAATGATCCTGGAAGGAACAACATCAGAAAAGAAAAAGAATGACATTTTTGAGCAATCAAATAAAATACCTGAACTATCACAGAGCCTGGCCAATGGGGAAAAACAAAACATCCAAAGCAATGAAAAACAAGGTTACAGCTTTACAGATGAAGGAAACTGCAACGAATTATTGGCCAACCAAACAATTCCTACTTATGCTACAATCCACTTCATACCAGCTCCTCTTTTGGATACAAATCAGGACAAAGAGAACAACACTTTTTTAACTTTACACAGTGAATCTGAAGACTCACACTCTGACCCTCGAAATACCTCTGTCGATCAAATGACCTCTTCTTTGACCAAATCAGTTAAAGATTTGCACATTTATGAGGAAATATCCTTCAATTCCACTCCCTCAGAATCACAGCTTAATAATAGCCATAATACCATACTAACAGATAATGAATTCACATCATCCAGCTACCTACAGTCCAGTCGCTCAGAAATCCTGCCCAATAATTTGTCTGCACATTCGATTTCCACTAATCAAAGAGGTGAGAAAGAAATAGAAAAAGAAAACACGGATTCTGATTGGCCTGATGAAAATAAATCACCTAGTGAGGGACAGACAAATTTGGAGGCAACCAAAAGTAGTAATTCAGAGGTGAGCAGAGAAGCTCCACTTGGAAAGGATATGGTTAGTTATAGCTCTGAAGTTAATGACAAGAAGGACGACCAGGGCTCTGAATTTGTAAGGGCAAGAGTGACTGTTGTGAGAACCAGTTTGTAAACCAGTTTGAGTGGAAACGACACGTTGAGTGGAAGGTTTGAGTAAGTTGGGAGAGGAAATGTCCATGAGACTTGGAGGAGAATGCAAAGGAGCCAGCCATGGACGTGCATCAAGCATGCGGTAGCAGCAATGAACTGATGAATAACAATGAACTAACTTACTAAAAACATTGTAAGACATAATCTATTCCACTTCTCACTATTATTCTTATCAAGCATGTTTCAGTTGTCAGTACAATGCACATTACATTTGTCAATAGACTACATATTACATTTGCCTGTTTATTTTATGCTTTTGTAAACAATCCCTCGATCTATTGATGTAATTATTGTTTTTACTGAAAGTTTTTAACATTCATTCCCTTTACGGGTATGCTTATTAAATGAATAAAATGGTATCTGAAAACAGTGAGTGAATAATTATTTACTCTAAGTTGTATTCTGCATTATTAATTTTAATTTTAACGAGTACTTCGTTGATCTGTTTTCAGCTCAGACTTTTGCTTCTTGTCAAACTCTCAAACAGAACAGTATGATTTATCTGTATTCTCTCGATCGGTTTTACCGTTTAGACCAATGCGGTACTTTGCTTAAAAGCGTCATTCTCTGTTTATTTGCCGAGTCCTCGACGATTACGTCATTGTATAAAGCCACATTACATCATTCTTTAGGGAATCCGACCATTTAACAATAGCCCCGCCTTATTTCTCTTCTGACAGTTACGTTAAGTTTATATTGGACATTGTTCCACCATAGAAAAACCTCCCTTTCTTACCATTGGTAATACCTATGAATTTGATTGGTTGAGCTCGTTGTCTGTCAAAGAAGTATTTTTCTGCCGACCACGGAAAAGAGGCAAGAAGTGAGCGGGTCATTCGATTTCGAGGCGTGCGGGTTTTTAAACTTGCATTATAAACCAAAAATGCAAAAAGCGGCAGAAGTAGTCTGACAAATTTTATATAGATTTTTACATCAACCAGAGTAAATTACTTTTAAATCAAGAACAACAACAGTAACAATAATAATTAATATTGTTGTATAAAAAATATTTTTATTCAATTTCGCTGCTGCTGTTATTGTTTCGACGGTGATTGATGTTGTTCATAATAATAATTATTTGTAGCTTTTAGTTTGAGACTAAGGAACATGGGAACAAACTACTGAAATAAGACTAAATTTATTTTTAAGTTAGTATTTTTTATTTTGTATGGTGATTGCCTGATGATATCAATCAGTTCCTAATAGAGTTCAATATATTTTAGGTATAAGTATTTTTTTTAACTTATACGGATTTCTGATTATCTGGGTTAAATGTAAAAGATACAAAACTTTTCGCTTACATTTATCATTAACATATTCCACACTTAATGTTGTGATAGGCACCCACTGCATTTTGTAATATTAATTAACAACACATTCAAACAGCATTAAATAAAATGAATACAGTATACGTAAGTTTGATTTGAAGACTTAATATAATCCATAATATAATTTTCCAGGGATTTCCCATCAGAAATTGTACCTTGCTATATTCAGCTCCATGCTTTGGTTACTTTGAAAGAAATGCAACTCAATTAGAAAAATAGGTTTGTACTAATTTGTCTAATTTCAGGAACGTCAACGTCAAGAATACAGGTTTCAATTAATGAAGCGATTTCCTTCACACGTTTGCTTTGAAGTTGTCTTGCCAGTGCGCCGTTGATAGCCTACTCATGTGAAATTTCTTTTAACACTTCAAATGCTAACCGATGTTTATTCACTGTTTCAGTTATACTTGGTGGTAGTGACCAGTGAGCTATAGTCACCAGTGATCATTAGACCCTTCAGGACTTTTGCGGATGGCATTATTAGACTGTACTGTAGCTCTACATTTGGAAAATTTGGAAAGACTCAAGAACACCGTTGATTTCCAAAAGTTCAAATCGAAGGGAATTGTACTTTGGCCAGTGTTGAACTGTGGCTGAAAATCTATTATACAGACTAATACTTTTATTTAATCATTTTAAGTCATAGATATTAAATCTATAGAACTGACAATTTTCATTTTTAAATAATATTCCGCACCTTATAATTGTTTCACTTTAATTGCACAGTGCTGTATATGTAAATTCTTTATAAAATAATATACTCTTACGTATGCAAATATACACGCACATTCTATGTATATATTTATAATTATTATACTATATTACACATTTAATTATGGAGAATGATAGAGAGAATGTTTCTTTAAGACCTATTACCTTCATCCAAAAGAGAGGGAGAAGAGAAACGGAGGAGGGGTGTGTGGTGTGCTGGTGTAGCGTCTCTTTCAGTTGCTTTGTGCCGTTTACATGTGGAAGTAGGAAAGGGGGGGGGGTAGATATCCGGGTTTTTAAGGGGGGTATAGCCACCGAAAGAGCGAGAGCTGCTGTGATGAAGCCGGAGGGAATATAAAGCCTTCGTCTCTCCTCCGCGATGACTACGGTAAGAAAAAATGTTACTAAATACTGCCGTGTTGCATGAATGCAAAGCATTTGTTTTTGTGTAACGGTGTGAATGCGTGCGTATATAATACCTCAGTATGTGCATTCGATTGTGTTGCGGTGAAGGGAGGGGAAAGGCGAAAGGAGGGAGGGAGGGAAAGAACCAGAGAATAAACGATGCTACGCTCGGAATGTCGAGACACTTCATGCATTGACAGGTGTGTCTGCGTTTCCAACATCGCAATTTATTTACTCTATTTTTGCAGACGTATTGATTGACAAGCATGCACAGATAATTGGAGAACGATAGATGTTAAAATATGCGCCAGCACAAATTCACGGACTGCAATATTAAAATATTTTAGCCCGCCGTATATGCTTTGTAGACAGTTACTTCCGATTTAGAAGCTAATCGGTTCTTCAGAATACGTATCTTTGCATATTTCGTATTTTTTCTAAGTATGCGTGCTTTTGCAAAACCTACCAACCAAGAAATGTAGTTGCAGCGTATCCATTGTTTATGCTTTATATCACTATCGTTGCTGATTTTAGGAATAATATGCCATGCATGCGTTTGCGTGACCTTCTTTAACATGATTTTATATATTATTATCTGTGGTATTTCTCTTTTATTTGCTTATTTATTATAGCAATATTTTAAACTCTAGGTACTACTTCAGCGCATTGCCTTTCCACCCCTGTATATTATTATGGCTACTCAGACTAGCCTTGACAAATAGATAACTATAGGCATACATATAGCACCGGGAGAGACTATTATTATGGCACCGTCACCTAAATAGGCGTCAGTGACGACAAGCAAAATGTTTAATTTAATTAAAGGAATATTTGAAACTGAAGGCTGATTTTGTCAGAAGATCAGTCGCCACATAGTTTATCTGTTTGTGTGTGTGAGCGCATCTGACTGAGCGTGTTCTCAATCTCCTGTTCGTTTTTCTTCTTCACATTCATACTGGGATATCTGTTAAGCCAACTTCATTTACTGAATTATTGCCTTTATTAGAGGAGCAACAAAGCAGCGTGATTTAATGCCTGTTATTTATACGAATGCCTCTTGGTGCACGTTTAATTCCGGCCTTATTAGCCGCTTCATGTACTGCTAACCCGCAGTTGCGCTCCCCGCCCCGGTATCTTCTGTACGTTGATTCTTTTAGCGTGACCCCCCCCGCCGCCCAACCACCACCACCACCTCCTCCTCCTCCTCCTCCCCCCTCTTCCTTCTTCCGCACAACCCTCCCCCTTTTTCTTCATCTCTCTCTCACTCAGTCACTCACAATCACAGGCTGTTTTACAATTTGAGGAATCTGCATGTTAATGTACAACGGCCGCCTGTCCTACTTCGTAAATAGCTCATATTTACGTACTGTGTTTGGAAAAAGCTAAGGCCTAATCTGTTACTAGATTTGTCTTATTATGTATGCTGTATTATCATATATGTATTGTATTCTGTTAATAAGTGTTTCTTCTTTTGAAAACCGTTTAAATTGTGAAATTATCAGTAATAATAATAATAATAATAATAAGAAGAAGAATTTTTGCTCCTAATGTTATTGTTTGGGCATGTTGCTGGATATAGTTGGTCTGGACCAAGACTGTTTGTTCAATGATTGGGATGTCCCAGACATCTCCAAAGAGCTTCCATGCCTTTAAGTGTGACAAGCCTGGCTTTTGGAAATGCTGTATTTTGTATTATAACCATGCTAAGTGCTTGGCGTAGCATTGGCAATAATTTGGCACACCATTAGCAAGCTTGTCCTGCATATGTTCCACTTTATTTCATATGAATTTCCCCATTTGGTAAAACTGTCAAAATGTATTACCCAGCATTTTCCTAACCATCTTCCCTGTTATTTTCCCATTGCCCTCCCTGTCCTGTAATGTAGACTCACTTGTTGAGATGAGTGTTGCAGTCCTGTGTAATACCTATGTTGTACTACTGTCCAAAGTATCAGTGTTAACTGTTAATATTCCACATATTTTCCTAGGTACTGTTTGTTTACTTGTATTTATCCTTCTCTTTCAGCTCTGTTTCTAGGTGTCTAGGCCACCGCCAGAAATAGTTGGGCCTGTTTCTGCCCCCCCCCAGCCCCCCCAGCCCTCCCCCCCACCGCACCAAACCCGCCTTTCCAACCTCAACACATCGATACACCTCCTCAGCCTTTACCTCTCCCCTGTGGGACCCCCCCTGCTTATCCCACCTTTCCCACCGAACCACTCTCTTGGATGAGCCCAACTGCAAGTTATCTTTGGCTTGCCAACCTGTTCTGCTTGGTGTCAAAAGTAGGACAGTCAGCGGCTGTCAAGCACTAACAAAGGAACGCAAAAAGGCTTCCGGAACACACGCAAAAGCGCAGGCGGATAAACAAAGACAAGAAAGCATCGGACTGCCTATCAAAAACATCAAAATACATTTTGCCTAACGAGAAAACGCCTGGAATATCGGAAGTGCACAGATTAACTAAGCCGAAATGTGTCGTCACGTTCATCAGTTTGAGACGCTTAAACAGAACTGACACAAGGAAGGAAAGAACCGGAAAAAAATCTGTGTTGTACAGACAGAAATGAAGAATGGATGGATTCTCCGATTAGCTTGACATGCTCGCTTATGTTGCCCCTAAGACCAGCTGGTTACTCTACCCAGCTAATGCTAAGAGTTACTGACTCTAGTTGGGGATGAGCCGACCAACACATAGGCCCGCTGCTACTGACGTGTGAGACACATACACAGTTTTCCAAAATAAGTGCAGTTGTAGAGAGAGGCCGGGATTATAACCTAGTTCCGGCTGGTGCACTCCCAGGAAGCCCTCTAGAACAACTCAAGCGTCTCTTAAGTCGCGGTGCACTCCCTCCGGTTTCAAGATGATGTGCGAGGTCATGCCCACCATCTCGGAGGATGGGAGAGGTGGGGGGGGGGGCTCTTCCTCTCCCGCAGGGGGTGGGGTGGGGGCCGGTGCCGGCAGTGGGATGGGGACCATGGGAGGCGGTTATGGTGGCCGGGAACCAAGAGGGGACGAGGGAGGCAGCACCGGCAACCTGGAGTCTCTGATGGTGAACATGCTGACGGAGCGCGAGCGGCTTCTGGAGAGCCTGAGGGAGACGCAGGACAGCCTGGGCACGGCACAGCTGCGCCTCCGCGACCTGGGCCACGAGAAGGAGTCACTGCAGAGGCAGCTTTCCATCGCCCTGCCACAGGTACGGCAGCACACCCACCTCATACTCTCTCTCTCTGCTGTAGCATCAGCCTTTCTGCCCATATGGACGGCTTTGGGGAGTCTTTGAAGAGATTGGCACGTATGGATCTTAAAAATAATTAGTTCTTCAGAACGACTTAACGGGCAGCCACCGGTGAGAGTGCTGTTTGGGGTAGCACCTGTTCGGGAGGGAATTGGCGAGAGAGCTCAGCACTGTGACATCTACTGTTGTGGAAGGATGGAGAAACAGGTGACAATGTGCTCATTTTATGCAGAAGCCATCAGATGATGACAGAATTCAAAGAAACTGAGCAGAGATTGTGAGCAGCAAAGCAGATGACTGTGGGACATGTTCACTGTCTCTTGGTTTATGTCTTAATTTGGAATTACTTACTGAGTCACATATGAACCGTATGTCTGAAGGGCAGTGGAAATGTGTCAGGTGCAGGTCAGTCGAGGGATGGCAGCCTCAGTGTACATTGGAGCTCTGGAGGATACAGGAAGTTACATCGAGTTGCATTGAGGCTTTGAATCTGAACTTCCTCTGAACCCTTCTGTGCTTTTACGTCTTTTCAGTTATGCAGCTGAATGAGGACAGAATGCACGCTGATTGATCTTTATATTCCTTCAGATTACACAGAATATCATGCTGTTGGTCTTCATAAAATATATTTCAACATTTTGGGAGAATTTCCGGTATAAACCTTTCCCTTTAAACCATGAGACAGTGTCTGCAATTATCCACATGGAATGTAATAGTGAAACAAATACAATCTTTCAATTCATTTTGTTTTAAATTTGGTTTCTGCTTATCGTATATTAATTTCAGAATATCAGCATGACTGATAAATCAGTAGTGCGCTTTAATTTGTGGAGAGAAAGGTCTTCAGAAATGTTCTCTGAGTATATTTTCTTTGTTGCTATTAATAGGATGCTATTATTATGGCTACAACTCCCCTTCCCCATATTTGTTGTATATTATGTTTACTTGTTGGTGGGTCTTGTTAGCTTTGGAAGCAGGTGAATATGCTATTTGGCTGATAAAGACCATGTTGATCAGAATGTTAATCGGTTAATGTTTCTTGACTGACATTCAAGACATTGATGCGTTAGCTCTGTGTTTCTTCAAGGTGTGACAGAATTATTTAATAGAAAAGTGAAATACAAGTAATGGTAAAGATAAATAAAATGCAACGATGTGAAATTTTTTTAAACCTGACAGCAGGTGGCGTAGCGCTTAAGGGGTTGGACTTCTGACAGTTCCATTTCCAGTTCCTTGCATTGAGGGTGAATAACTATATGCCAAGAATGTCTTTGGTGCATAAAGATGTGGCGTAATCAGTGCTAATGTCGTTCGTTTGGGTGGGTTTATGTGTGAGAGGGAGTCAGAGTGAGAGAGAGACTGAGCGAGTGAAAATATCCCTTTTTAGACTTTACCATGACATCGACGCCATTTTGGCAAGAGGAGGTTTTCTAATAAAATGTATACTCTGTACAAAAACCTTAAGACGCATTGATAATCAGTCTTAGGCTTGACGTAAAATAAAGAGGACTGCAGAGGATATAAAGGTGTGTGATGGCAGGGGTAGAGAAAAAGCAGGGGATTGTGGGACATTGATACTAATAGACATCCTTAGACCATTGTCAGCACGATACACTCCCAGAAGGCCAAGTGCCAATGGGCCCACTGTGACACCGTCTGTCCTCTCATTTCCCTCCCATGCTCCTCTCTGTCTCTTTCACTCCATCTGTGTCAACGACTGATAAACATACACAGAGCTGCAACTGTACACCCACTGGATTGCTGACAGAGGCGACTGACATGGATAGCTAGCAGGTTTCACATTCCAGTTGTGTTTCTGTCAGGTGAGCTGTGACTCTCTCACGACAATCTACCGACTTAGGCTCACTGATTTATTTTAACGCCGGGCTCAAGAAGCCTGTGCGTGTTGGTGAGAAAATAGTGTTGGTGTGTTGGAACTGAGCAGTCAGAATTCCTTTTCAGAGCCAGGCATTGTTTGCCGTTCCCCTTCATCTCTCCTCTTTGAGAAGACAGAGAAAGATCGTTGTGTCACACTATGTTCCCTTTGTCACTCAGTGTCACAGTACTGTAACGGCATTCAGGCCATGGCCTGGCGTTTCCGTCAGCAACATACAGTAGGCGCTGCTCTGCTCGTTTTGCCATCATTTGTCACTGTGCGTGAGACATCGTTCATCCATCCGGCACGGTCTGATGGAGTCAGGAAAAAATGTCTAGGTCAGGTCCCAACGAAGATGTGTGAATGCAATCAAAAAAGTAAAAATGCCAAAAGTCTCATATTTTGTTTGGTTACTTATGGTTATGGTGACGGCTGGGTAGGGATTAAGTTTGTCGTGTTGGGATTAGAGTTTTCCCTATATAAATGAATGGAGAGTCTCCACAAAGATATAATTACAAACCTGTGTGCATGTGTGTGTGTCTGTGTGTGTGGATTATGGTTATATGATATTATGGGGACCAAATGTCCCCAACAATGTGATAATAACCTGTTATTTTGACGTTGTGGGGACTGTTTTTCAGGTCCCAAAATGATGTGTGAATGCAATCAAAAAAGTAAATGCCAAAAGTCTCATATTTTATTTGGTTACTTATGGTTAAGGTTAGGGCTGGGTAGGGATTAAGGTCGTCGTGTTGAGATTACAGTTTTCCCCATAGAAATAAATGGAGAGTCCCCACAAAGATATAATTTCAAACCAGTGAGTGTATGTGTGTGTGTGTGTGTGTGTGTGTGTGTTATGGCTTTTCTTAAGCCGTAGTGCAGTAAAGCTGCCATTACAAGTAACTGAAAAGAAGTAGCGAGAATAACGAATACAAATATGACGCAAAAAGATTTAGCTTGTTTCTAATTTCAAATCTGACTTCGACATTAATATGTGGCCCAATGCCTGGTAGCATGGTGTCATAAAATAAGCAATTCAGTGATTACATATTGACCAGCTGTTACTGGTATGGTGCGCGACATATTCAAGCCAGAATCAGCTATGTATTTCCAGGGAACCATATGACTGGTCTTAGAACCCATCGCAGGGTAAGACGGGAAGGCAGGGAGCGTCATGCTTGAGAGGTACTATGAGCAGGAAAATGAGCTTTTGGGTAGGCCTGTTTCTCTGAGCTATCTCCTAGCCAAGATCTTCTAGCTAAGTATGGAAGAAGGCACAGGACAAACTGTGCTGCAGTGACCTAGGTGTGCCTTTTGAGTGGAGATGCCTGTCGCACACTCAGCATGTCATTCAGTGTTTGCCGTCTGACCATCTCAACCGGCCAGCAGCCAATTTGGGTTGATGCAAATTGTGTTTTTGCTCATTATTGTAAAACGTACGTAAACTGAGATTATATAAAAATGTGTAGCTAAGATAAATAAATAATCGGTTCTCTGTAAATAAAATTCAGGAGGTCGATGCTGTGCTGGATGTGCTCTTCTGAGTTGGGTTGTGACACACCTTACCTGCTCTTGGTCTTTGCTTAAAATCTACAACTGACGTCAGTGCCTTAAATGTACAGTATTTTCACCATGCTCCATTTACCCTGTTTTCCTGGGAATCTACTGACAAGAAAGATGAGAGTTAGATGCGATGTGTACCCCATACACTGAATACAATGGTAATGATATCTTGGCTGAATGGATCTGAAGAATAAAGCAATGGCAAGGTGTCAGATGTAGCGCAGAAGTGCACCTCTGTGAGGCTTGGGGAGGAACCGGATTAGCATGCTTAAACTCTGCTACGCTGCAAACAGACGCGTGGCTGTTAGACCTCATCACTGTGCTCTCTTGCAGTTCCGTCTTGTGTAACGCTGTGATGTAATAGCAATGTCTAAGGTTCTCGGGGCTTCGTGTTCGAGGAGGCGAGTGTGAGCTGGTGGGAGTCGCCTTGCTAAGAAGTACTTGCGAAAGGCAGTCAGCGTTTGATGCTAATGCTAGCGGTGCGCTCCGCCGGCGCCGGCGTGCGCCTGCCGGCCGCCCTTACGCTCCGTCGGGCTCCATAAGCGTGCTCTCCACCACGCATTCCTGGGTGCTTTCTTTTTTGTTTTTTTTGTTTTTTCGGTTTGTTTCTTATAAGTTGTGTGCCTGATGAAAGAAAGAGACAGGGAGGTAGAAGGGTGGGGTGAGAGAGAGTGCGAGAAAAGGAAAGCGAGTCTGTGGGGGTGAGAGTGACAGAGCCTCAGAAATAGTTTTGCCAACTTGAAGGAATTTCACCTTTTTAAAAATAAACATTGTGTTAGATTTGTCGAAATGTAACCAGTTGCTATTAAGTAGCTAGCTAAATACCAGAACATAGAATGATACAATGCATATCACTAGCTAGTGTTTATCTTCCAAGCTTTATATATAAATAAATATTTGTTTATATATGCATGTATGTGTGAGAGTGTGTATGTGTATGATGGATGGGAATGGGAGGTCTTGTCTGTCATAATTGGCCTGTTGAAAGAGCCACTTCCCCGTTTTCGATACAAGCACAAATGCGGCACAGGCAGACACCAAGCCCCAGATCTTACTCTGCAGTCCAGTCGAGAATTTTAAAATAGGCTCCATTAAGTAACACCTGAGCTGCCTGGAGAGAGGACAGAGGGTTTGGTTTGGCCGCGCTCTATATATTTGGGCTAGAGATGGGCAGGTTAAAATGTGCATGCACAAGTTATGATAAAATATTCAAGAAGGGGAACACCTTGGAATCCAATATAAAAAAAAAAAAAATTGACATGCCTAGAACTTGAAAATCTAAAGGAACAAATGTCATGTATTTCCTAGAATGAATCATTTTTTAATACCAACTTATTTGTGCAACATCATGGTGACAGCCCTCGGTAATACAGCTGACGGATGACTTTTTCTTAAAACGTTTTGCTTTTATAGTTTTATCTTTTTTTTCAGGAAGTCTGACCAGCCGTCTTTTCTAAATAAAATGTTTACTGCAGTATGTATGTTACGGTGAGTGAGTATGTTTGTGTGTGTGTGTGTGTGTGTGTGTGAGTGTGAGCGTGTGTCCCTGTGTGTCTCTGGGTGTGCGTGTACCCTGCCCTACACCCCATGGTTCTTGGCGTACACTTTGGATCGTGGCAACCCTAGCCGGATAAGCAAATATAATGTCTGTACATACAGGCACTGCTAAAAAAAGGATTCACTACAGTTATGATTATTACATGATAAGGATCAAAACAGGTAACAGACTCACCACTTAATAGGCAAAGCAATGTGGCTGCTTTTGTGCACCAAATACATCTGAAACTCATTCTCTTTTTACTTCTTAATGTTTTGACAATACAGCAGCATTTTAGTTTATTTTACCTATTATCTCTATTTACGTCAGCACACCTTCTGCTTGTGCCATCTATCAGTATGTGAATCATTTTCTTCTCCTTCATTGACATTAAAGTATATCGACAGCTCTGTTCAATTTGTCACTAGTTTCCATGTTTGCAAGGTCTTGGATTACTAAAGATTAACTCTGTCAAGTAACCCAAAGCCATTTTGGCCCAACAGATAAACACTAGCTAGTGATATGCATTGTATCATTCTATGTTCTGGTACAAACAAACAGCATCATAACTACGTATTTGCTATGTCAAAGGAGTATGAGTTTATTTACATTTAGATAAAAATGGAAATTCAGTACAATTGTTTGCAGACTGCGAGCTAACATGTTTAGCATATTTAGTTTTGCATTTAAAAATATAATGAAATATCTCAAAGAAATATAGTGTAAATAATACAAACAGTAAAATGGTAACAGGAAAAAGCCAAGTTGTGCATCATGATACTTTAAATAAAGTGTTCAGCTTGAAAGCAAATATGTATGGAGCAAAACTGAAATAGCTATTTTATGTGTTGAAACAAAAGCACAATATATAGGGAGATGTATGACTATGTGTGTTTTGTGCCTAGTTTTATGTATGTACGAGTGGGGCAGTCGAAAGTGAGAAATAGCCATAGAGTTAGTGCTTCTATTAGCACACGCTGTGCTAATCTGGGAGCAGGGCCGCTGCCATGTTTCAGTGCATGTGGTGTACATTTATTTATTTTTTTGTTCTCCAGGAGTTTGCGGTGCTGACCAAAGAGCTGAATTTGTGCAGGGAGCAGCTGCTGGAGCGGGAGGAGGAGATTGCGGAGCTGAAGGCCGAGAGGAACAACACGCGGGTACGTCTCTGTGCCTTCGGTCCCGTCCCGAACCCCGATTTCACTGCCTCGCACATTTAGTCATTGAGCCTCACAGATAAGAGCCGTTATTGAGTTTTTTTAAGCACGGCTTTTAGCGTAGCGCCGTAATGTTCGCACTCGGAACGACCTGTTCCCGCCCCCCCCCCACCACCGCCTCCCAGCTCCTGCTCGAGCACCTGGAGTGCCTGGTGTCCCGGCACGAGCGCAGCCTGAGGATGACCGTGGTGAAGAGGCAGGCCCAGTCACCCGCCGGGGTCTCCAGTGAAGTGGAAGTGCTCAAGGCCCTTAAGTCACTCTTTGAGCACCACAAGGCGCTGGACGAGAAGGTGAGCGGTGGCGATGGCTGCACACGAACACTGCTTCACCTATGGCTTCACCTTCAAATTTACCCATCGATTGGATGCAAATGAATAATGTCTCAGCTGGAGTTTTACGGATTGCAAATATATGCTCCCTAATGCTTTCATTCCAGTGGGTAGTTTAATTTGGCACAGCCTGAAAGAATTGACTTAATTAAAGCACATGTTTTATTGGACTGTTAAATATAGGAAGAGTTACTTGTTTTTTGAATGAGGGTGTCAGTGAATACTGGCATCCAGCACAGCATGTAACCCAGGCCTGTGCCCTGTGTTGCCTGGGGTTGGCTCCTGGCCACCCCACAACCATGTCCAGAATATGTGGATGGATGGATGGATGGATGGATGATGGTATCAGTAAACAGTTCAGACCTAGAGTTTGATGCAGTTGCTATGCTGGCTGCACAGCCCTTGCAGGTTGCATCCTTCCCCTTCTGACTTATTCTATTCCTCCTGTCCTACTCCTTCACCTGTCAGGCCTTCCTCTCTGCTTTCTTTTCTCTTACAAAATCTTTTCCTGTCTTACGCCTGTCTCCCATGTCCTATCACTGCGGTCTCACGCTATCCCTGCCCACCCATCTGCATTTTCTCCACCTTGCCAAGGTTCGAGAGCGACTCCGGGTGGCCCTTGAGAGAGTGTCTGTTTTAGAGGAAGAACTGGAGACTTCTACACAAGAGGTGAGAGCTTCTGTCCTTTTTCATAAGCTTTTGCGTTGCGACTTGATGCCGTTGCACCTGGCCCTCACCCTTACACGATCTTCACCGGTACTTCTCTTTCTCAGGTCCACTCTTTGCGGGACCAAATTAAAAGACGACAGCAAGGGCTGGATAACGGGAAAGAGGCAAGGGAATGTTGCATATCTGTCTGTGTATTTTAGTGGCGGTGAATATGGAGTGACCAATGAGGAGGTATCACAAAAACGGCCTGCAGGCATCCGTAGAGTTATGTACTGTCTACGTTATGATTTATTTGTTTGCTGTATGCCTACCCTGCTCATCCCTCATCATCTTCACTCGTTTCTTTTCTGGTATCTTCTCCACTCTCACAGATACTGCCTAATGGGCCCTCGGTTCTTGATGACAGAGAGGTAGACAGACAGAGAGAAGGAGAGATTGAACGGCAGAGAGCTGAACTCTCCCAGTTGAAAGAGAGGCTCGCTCTGATGTGTAGACAGGTACCTTAATAATTATAATTGTAATTTATTGTAATTTCTAATGAGGAATCAGGAAATACATTACTCTAATACAGACATTGACAGGAAGGGTAAAACTCAGCACCTGGAATCACACTAAGGCAACAAAAGAATACTGACATATTTCTGGGTTCCTGACTCCCCTCAAGTGGACAGTCAAAGAATTGCAGCCTCTTAGCCACATCTGTACAACTAAAAACTAAAAAAAAAAATTACCTTTACAGTGAGACACTAAACATAAGAGTCTGTAGCAGCAGAGATGTAAGTAAGGGTCCCGTTCGTTTTGCAGCTTCCCCTTAATGGTTTATCTGCCCGCTTGTCAGGTGGGGGAAATCGAGGAGCAGCTTGCTGCTGCCCGGAGGGAGGTAACCAAAACAGAGGAGGCCAATCAAAAGCTCCAGAGGGACGTAAAGGAGGTGAGTATAAATAGCTTGTGGTGTCCCTATAGCCCGTTTATTAATGGGCATGACTGCTATAAGCTCGTGCAACCCCCCCCTCCCCACAGCCAGTGGCACCAAAGCTACTGTAACATATAACCAGTAGCAAACACAACAATGTAAATGTCTGATGAGATATTTAGACAGCGCTGAAGGTATGACTTGTCGGTGATGACACGCTTTGCCCCAGAGCTACAAAAGCAAGGTTATACAAGTTCTGGGTTGGAATGATTTGTAATTTCACTGGCTTCCATGAACGGTGGGTGATGGGCAGGAATGAGAGGAGAGCAAGTTCCTACCTGTGTGTTTGGTGGCCAAACCCTGCAGCCTGTTGCCTGTTTACAATTAAAGTTCAAAGCTCCCCAGGGCCGGAGCAGTTGAAATGTTGAAATAAGTGCTTCTAGACAAACACAGTATAGGATCAACATCCTAAAACATGTCACTACAATTCAGTACCTTTATTGAGCGATTAGAATCTGCTAACGAAAATAACCGATATTATCTCGTATATCCCGCCTGCCTGTTTGATGACAGGATGCTCTTTTATTTTGTGTGTCTTGTTCAGATGTGTATAGGAAATAAGTAGGAATTTAGGAGTGAATTTCTGATGCCAGTACTTTTAACAATAAGGTAAAACTTCAGGGCCACTGTCACTAAACCATTTACCCAGTGTGTTTTTTCTTAAAAACTGTAGGTGCATCACTGTTGTATTATATAGAATGTATCTTTCACACAGTGTTTCCCTGTGTCTGTAAGTCTGAGATTGTTAATATCAGTTCTTTGATTATTTTTCTATAATTTTGGCGTCTACAAATGGTATTTCTTGGTTAACTGCGAGGACATGTAACTGTATACATGCTCAGGAGCGTCTCATGTAGAATGCCTTGTGTCTTGTATCCATTTATGCAGTTGATCTTGTCATTTATTTGCACAGACAGCAGTTCAAAGTGAGCTCCTTACTAACAATGGCTCAGCAGAGCCTGTGCTGGAACTTGACCCCAAAACCTTCAGGGTGCAAGGCTAGGTCGTGACCCAGTACCCATCTAATTACTGCCACTCTGGCTTCTCTCTCATCCTCTCTTTTCATGTCAGGCGCTCTGTCAGAGGGAGGACATGGAGGAGCGAATTACCACATTAGAACGCAGGTAACATCCCTGGAAGGCCTGGTGCTTAATCTCACTTGGTATCTGTGTGATTTCTCTTTTACCACGTTCACTGAAGCAATACTCACGATAAAATTCCTGCGAGAGGCACTCACACAGCCCCCAGTACACTATAGAGCTGATTCACTCGGCAGCCAGGGTTCAGTGAGCGCGAAAGCACATGTGACATCACCCCCATCGCGTGCGTCCTCCGCGGAGTGCTACTCTCTGGGACACTGTGGCGAACAGATTGCCCCAGAGCTGTTTGTTTGTGTCGCCTGTAGATACCTCAGTGCCCAGAGGGAGGCAACCTCTCTCCATGACATCAAAGACAAGCTTGAAAACGAGCTGGCGAGCAAAGAGTCGCTTTACAGACAGGTACCTTGTGATCAGCCACTGTTTGCAGCCATAATATTATCTCTTTGTAGACCCGCTTTTTTTTTTAGTTTTTTACCTCATTTGTGTTTACTGATAGACATAGAGAGTTAATCTATTCTCCGGTTAAAATACGGCTTCATGCTATCGCTCTGGGCAGAGCAGAGCCCCATGGGCAGCCTGAGAGGTAAGTGTGCCACCCCGCCGGTCTCTCTCTCGTCTGCAGAGCGAGGAGAAGAACAGGCAACTGCAGGAGCGGCTAGATGACGCCAAGCAGAAGCTGCAGCAGACGCTCCAGAGAGCGGAGACGCTGCCAGAGATCGAGGCCCAACTCGCCCAGCGAGTGGCAGCGCTCAATAAGGTACGAGTGGCCCGTCCGATGGCCCCTTGCACCCCCCGACTCGTGCCTGTTCTACCGGGCGGCTTTGACTCACTCCACTCAGCCTACGCCTCCATTCTGTCGTTCAGGCGGAAGAACGCCATGGCAACTTCGAAGAGCGGTTGCGACAGATGGAGGCACAACTGGAGGAGAAAAATCAGGAGTTGCAGAGGGTGAAAGCACTTTTTAAAATTCATTTCTATTCATATTTCTATTCATAGGACCTTTGCTCTCAAAGCCATTAATTCAGCCTCTTCTACATCCCGTTCCATTGTCTGCACTTAGCTTTAAGTTTAGTTTTGGCAGGGAGAACCTCCACCCCCTAACTGAGTTCTCTCTCTAACCCAGGCACGGCAGAGAGAAAGAATGAACGACGAGCACAACAAGCGGCTATCTGACACAGTGGACAAGCTCCTGTCCGAATCCAACGAGAGGCTGCAGCTTCACCTGAAAGAGAGAATGGCAGCTCTTGAAGAGAAGGTACAACCCCAGGATGCCATGACTTGCCTGCATAAAGGCTGGGCATTTAACCTGGTCATCATGCAACAAGTGCTCAGATTTGTATAAGGCAGGGCATTTACCCAATCACCTATCATGAATTCAATAAAGATAAAGCGCAACAACTGATGAGATTTACATAAAGGCAGGGCATTTTGCCCAATCACAGTGCAACAACTGCTCCGATTTGCATAAAGGCGGGGCATTTTACCCAATCACAGTGCAACAATGGTCAGATTTGCATAAAGGCCGAGCATTCTAACCAATCACCTATCACAAGTTTAATAAGTGCATAGCACAACAAATGTTTGGAAGCCCTGATATGGTGGGACAGCAGTGTTGGGTGTATGCACATTGATGTATGCACATACATCCCATGATGTAGGGGACCTTGCTGGTCTCAGTGTTATGTGACTATTAAAAGATATTCTCTTGGGGGGTAGTTGATTTAATGTGTCATGGAACCCGACCTCCCATTCTGCTCACAATGTCCACATGAGACCTAAACACACATGCTTCTGTTACCTGCATTAAAGGGAAAGTAAACAAACCGCTGCTTTTAGTAATCAATGATATCAGAAAAAACACATTTTGATTGTTGAATGTGCTTGTTTTCCTACAGATAAAATGCTTTTTACTTTCCTTTTAAAACTTTCTCTTCATAAATAAGTGGTTCAAAACTTGTTGTTACGTAATGGTTAATATTTGTAACAAATTTGGTATCAAGTTAATCATTAGCAGTATTTGCCATGGTTGAAGAAATAATATCGACATGTGAGATTGTTTTTTTATTTAAAAAAAGGAGTTACACAATATGAAAGAAAATGGCATAAGAACATAACAATGTCATGAATTATTTCCTTTTTTTTACCCAGAATGCTCTTTCAGAAGAGCTGGCAAACATGAAGAAGATACAGGATGATCTTCTAGCAAACAAGGTACTTATCCCCACTGCTCTAAAGTGTGTGATTTGGTATGTCAGCATTATGCTCTAATAAATACATTTTATTTGCCAAACACAATACCGATCCTGTGCCAAAGAAATAGTGTTGTTCTTTCTCTTTCAATACTCTTATTTTGCGCTCTCTTTCTCTTGCTCTCTCTCTCTCTTTCTCTCTCTGCCCTTCTCAGGATCAGCTCATAGCTGAACTAGAGAGACTTCAAACTGAACTTGATCAGCTGAGGGGAAGGCCCAGTTCAACCTACTCCAGGTTAGCTACACTAGTACTTCTGGGGTATATACAGTATGTTTTATAAAAGATTTTGTACACTTAATTAATATACACTTACAGTACTATGTGTGATAATAATGCACAAGTTTTGCAGTTTGATGGTAAGAGTCTTGCATGTTTTTCAGAGGCCTACTGACTGAGGAATGTGTCTGTTCTCGCCTGTTGGTCTTTCTCAGGTCTCTTCCAGGAAGTGCACTTGAACTGAGGTTCCCCCAAGGGACCGGTGCTCTCCCAGCTGGTTCAACCACGCACCTGGATCACTATGGCAATGCAGCCTCAGGGGGCGTGGTTAGGCGGACTCACCGCGGGCGATGGGGTCCAACCAGGGAGGATGCCAGCAAGGTGAAATCTGCATTCTTAGTCTCACACCAATGCAGTTATATGATGCTGTACTCGTTGACAGACAGCACCTTTGATTCATCGTAAGTCACCTAAATCGAGCCATTTGTACACTGCCATCTTCTCATTTCAGTATGGGGAGTGGGATAGCAGCAATCTGCTAGCACCTGGGTTCGAAGGCGGCGTTGAGGGCGGCTGCTCAGATGACGAGGAGGACAGAGAGACGATCTTTGGCTCAGAGCTCCTCTCCCCCAGTGGACAGACAGATGTGCAGACCCTGGCCATTATGCTACAGGAGCAGCTGGAGGCCATCAACAAAGAGATAAAGTCAGTGTCCCATATGGAGTTAGAGTAGATATTCCTCATGGAACACCTGTGTCAAAGGAAGAGGGAGGATTCGCCTCATAGCCTGAAGCAGACTTAGGACAAATATACAGTACTGTACAGAAATCTGCAAAGGGCTGTCAGAGAAAATGTGATCAGTGGTCATTGTTGACACACCACAGCACACAACAACGTAATGTGTCCTCTGCATTTAACCCATATGTGACATAGCACCTAATTCAGCGCCCGGGGAGCAGTGCTTGGGGCAGTATCTTGCTCAAGGTACCTCAGTGGTGCCTTGCTGGTCGGGGATTTGATCTTTCAATTACAAGTGCGCTTCCCTAACCATTAAGCCACCACTGCCCACAATCTGGGTATTATCTGGGTAATAAGTGTACATTTGGTGAGAGAAAAACATTTAACATTAGAATATATGCTAATGAACAGTAACACAATAAAATTAACAAGAATTTCTTTTGTTCTCCAAAATGTTACTGGTATCTGGCATGGATGGCATGAAGAAGACCACTTTGGTCCCCAAACATCTCCTCAGGGGCATCCCAGCCATTCCATGTATTCATTAAATTTCTCTTAATTGAGGTATTGATTAGCTGAATGTGGTATACTAGTGGCTGAGTTAACAAATACACAAGTATATGGAATATATGCTGCAAATTCCATGATGATTTTAGAAGAGGTTTTGAAATGTCAAGAGTCACACAGGATTCTTGTTGAGTTTGTGTTAAGAACACTCTACTGCTCCTTACTCTCTCCATTCATCCAGACTGATTCAGGAGGAGAAAGAAAGCACAGAGCTAAGGGCGGAAGAGATCGAGAGCAGGGTCAGCAGCGTTGCTCTGGATGGGCCTCCAATTCCTCCGAACTCATTGGGTGGAGGGAGAGATGGGAGTGGGAGGGGCTTCATTCCATCATCTCTCACCTCCTCCACTCTGGCCTCCCCTTCACCGCCAAGCTCTGGACATTCAACACCCCGATTGCCTCACTCTCCTGCCCGAGAGAACGAGAGACAGGTGTGTCACTATTCTGTGTGACTGAACGTGAGAAAGAAGGATAGAGACTGAAAGACAGGTGTCTCAGTCTGTGTGACTGAATGAGAGAAAGACAGAGAGAGACTGATAGACAGGTGAGTCATTAGTCTGTGTGACTGAATGTGAGAAAGAGAAGGATTGAGAGACTGATAGACAGGAGTGTCACTAGTCTGTGTGACTGAACGAGAAAGACAGAGAGAGACTGATAGACAGATGTGTTATTAGTCTGTGTGACTGAACATGAGAAAGAGAAGGAGAGAGAGACTGATAGACAGTTGTGCCATTAGTCAGTGTGACTGAACGTGCGAAAGAAGGAGAGAGACTGATAGACAGGAGTGTCACTAGTCTGTGTGACTGAATGAGAAAGACAGAGAGAGACTGATAGACAGATGTGTTATTAGTCTGTGTGACTGAACATGAGAAAGAGAAGGAGAGAGACTGATACACAAGTGTTTCATTAGTCTGTAACTGAACATGAAAAAGACAGAGAGAGACTGAGAGACACGTGTGTCATTAATATGTGCGACTGATCGTGAGAAAGACCAGAAGAGAGAGACTGATCAGTGAGATTTAAATATTTGTTCTGAAAACCCGATTCACAGAACAACAAGGAGGAGGAGAGGTCGCTGGCCCTTGTGGACTCCACTCCTCCCCCCACTCCTCGAGCTCTCCGATTGGACAGGATGACTCACACACACCCGGGTGCTGGCCTTGATGACCATCGGGAGTTCCGCAGGTCAGTTAGCCGATGCCAGCGACAGCTAAGAGCCTTATTCCGTTGCTCCCTCTGGGTTTTAACCCGCGCTGCTGTTTCCATACAGCCTCTCAGCTGACGGCAGCGGCTCCAACAGCAGCCAAGACTCCCTCCACAAATCTAGCAAGAAGAAAAGCATTAAGTCTTCCATCGGTCGCCTCTTTGGCAAGAAAGAGAAAGGGAGGATGGGCCAGCCGGGACGGGAATCTGTATCCCTGGGTGAGGAAGAGATTCAGGGGCCCTGTGTGTGTGTGTGGGTGCGGGCGTGTGTTTTGTATTTAAAAAGTACACATTAGCTCATTTCAGTTGGCAATAATTTAGATTTGCAAGACTGCATACTGTAGGAATATTATGTTTGTAATTTATTCAGTGGGCCAAAAGTCTTGTCCAGATGACTGTACATTACAGACAATATTGCTTGGACAACATTTATATTAATGTCACGGTGTTTCAGTGTGTAAATGCATATGATCATAGAACAGTATGGTAATGGTGCATTAGGTAATGCAAGTCTGGGACTGGTGGTGGGATTCTGGGGTGGGGTGTTGTTTTAGGAAAAGCATAGTTAAAGCAAAGAATACATTAGAGCTGAGACATCCCCCCCCCCCCCCCCCCCTCAATTTTAGTTGTGCACTCTTGGGGACATGCTTGCCACAGCGCCTGATGTGGTCTGCTGTGTCTCATTTAGCCTCAACACCCTCTGATGATGTCAGCTCTGCAGATCCTCTCGGCCTGACCAAACTCACTGGATCCGTGGACAAGGACCGGCGTAGCAAGAAGAAGTAAAATCACTTCTTTGTTATCTTATGTCACAGGGCTATTAACATCCAAACTAATATGTAACATATATATTTTGTTGGGGGTTAATTGGTTTCATTAAAAAAAGGAGCTACAGATTGTGAACAAATGGAATCTCGCAAAAATTTGACAGGCTATCTGTACCCCAAGACAGCAGATGTGTAGAAGGAGCCTGAGACTTTGCAGAAGAAAGTCTTGTACCGATTAAGTCATCCACAAACCAGAGACATGATGTTTGCTCTCGCAGTTTGAGGTCTGGTGCTTGGAGACTGCATGCGTCGTGCACGCTGGAGGATCCTCATCATCTAGGCCACCTTTGTCAGCATGGAATAGACACTCCATACTGGGGTGTTGACAGGGCATAAACTCCTCATGTAATATGTGAGTCCAGCCTACGCCTGGAAAATGGCCAACGATAGCTTGGAGCATAGTTAAGCAACCTTGGTATGAATAGGCATCAAGTCTAAAGAGAAGACTTGTTTTAATGTCAAAGGTTTAAAACCGTGTTTCCCAGCAGGGACCGCCAGACAATCCACATTTTTCTCCCTCCCAGTTCCCTGCCAGGAAAAAAATCGTAGACTGTATGGAGGTCTCTGAGGACCAGGTTGGGTCTAAAACTTTGACCATGTAAGAATCCATAAATAATGGGAACAGGTCTGATAGCTTGAAGTGAAGAGGTATGTCCAATGGACCACGTTTAAAATATGTGTTTCATTCCTGTGATGATGATGTCCCTATTTGGGTCACAGGATGGTTCTTTGTAACCTGTCAGAAACTCCCACCCTCCCCCCTAAGGTTACCACATGTGCACTATTACACTTAACACCCTGAGCCCCCCAGTGGACTCAAACTGGACGGGGCTACAGGAGCAGCTTTTCTGGGCATTATTACATTACATTTATTTTATGTAGCTGACACTTGTGTCAAAGTAACATACAAATGAGGCAAATAGCACATTACAAACATACAGGCTGTCAAGCAGTTGATTAGGCATAAGTGCGGCTCGGATGAGCAGTTTGAAGTGTAAGCAGCACTGGAGCAGGAGACAGAACAAAGCAAGTCAAAGCAAGAATCAAACAAAACTACCATTCAGATCAGCAGAAAGTGGATTATTAAGATCATTCAGGGAATGTGGAGTATTAGGCTAGTAGAGGTAATTAAAGAACTGTTGTGTGACTTTTATTCACCTATTAGCACTGAGTTGGGGGAAGCTTGTGAAAATGGGTGGCATTATTGTTTAAGGAGAAATTAAACAGTGATGTCACAGAATCAGATAAGTACAATAGAAAATGGTTCTCATGTTCAGGCCTTGTGGGTGTTTCTCGTGCCGTAACATTCTTTTTCCAGTTTCTTTGCTGAAATCTCCCTTTCTTCCACCTCCAGTCTCCATTGTCATGGTCTCTTTTGGTGTCCCTCCCCCTCCCAGGCACGAGTTACTGGAGGAGGCCTGTCGCCAGGGTCTCCCCTTCGCTTCCTGGGATGGACCGACTGTGGTGTCCTGGCTGGAGGTATACCCCATATCCTCCCACTACTTTGCTGTCATTAAATACATTGTGTGAAAGGGTTAATCTCAGCCTAGAAAGTTTGTGGAATGTAGCATGTCATCGCAGTCCTCAGGGAACCCCAGACAGTCCACATTTTTGCTTCCTCCCAGCTCCAAGTCAATGAAGGACAGCAAATACCTTATACAGGTGTGTTGGGAGCTGGGATGGAGTAAAAATGACTTTCTGGCGCTCCCCAAGAAATTGGGTGAGAAGCACGAAGCACTGAATTAGTTGAATGCACCACCTCAGCCCTCCCCCCCCCCCCACTCGTGCAGGGTCAAGTGATTCATTTTACTGTGAATCGTCACTTTGATGAATGTAAATGTCCATCTTTCCTTAGGTGCCCATCTTCTTCACCCCAGAACTAGCCCTGTCATTCATGTTCCTTCCTCTCGTCTTTCCCCTCTCTGCCTTCTGTTCTCCCACCCCCTCATCCCCCCCCGGGTCCGCCGCCACCTAGCTGTGGGTGGGCATGCCTGCCTGGTATGTGGCGGCATGCAGGGCGAATGTTAGGAGTGGCGCGGTCATGGCCAACCTGTCGGACACGGAGATCCAGCGGGAGATCGGCATCAGCAACCCGCTGCACCGACTCAAGCTGCGGTTGGCCATCCAGGAGATGGTGTCCCTGACCAGCCCCTCAGCCCCCGCCAGCACGCGATCTGTCAGTGGACACGCACACCTCCCCTTTATTACACATCTATTTATAAATCACCATGATGCAAATGAGAGCGGGGCCGTCCTTGGCTTTGCCAGCTTTTGTTTATACATTTTTGTGTATATGCCCAGCAGAAAAAGGCAGCATGGTTGTTATTATTATATATATAGTATACATTTTATTATATTTTATTATAAATTCTATGTATTATGTATTTATGTGTTATTATTATTATTATTATTAATGTTCTTGCTATGTTATTATTATTGTTGTTTATTGTTATTAATCTTTATTACTATTATTATCGTCATTGTATTATTAAATGAAATCGTCGCATTCTCATTGTTTCTGTCCCTTGGCATGCGGCCGCAGTCGACTAGTAACGTGTGGATGACGCACGCGGAAATGGAGTCTCTCACCGCTGCCACGAAGCCTGTAAGTGATTTCCTCCCTCCTCCGCCGCCACTCAGGGATGTCGCCCCTCGTGTTCTGCTGACCACATGATTACTTTGTGTGTGGTTCTCTGAAACAGATGGACTACTCTTGGAAAAAAGCCCAGTACTGTTCACTGCTGGGCTAGTGGTGTTAGTCTAGAAATGAATAAAGTACATCCTCAGATTTTGATGATGTGACGTTACTAAAGCACACGGCCAATGAAAGCAGAACACTAACTTAATGCCTGGGAAAGCATATACAGATATATTTTGCAGTATTCTTTAAAGTGTAACTTGCATTAATTGACAATAATTAATCTCTTTCTCTTTCTCTTTGTTCGTCTGATTGAATGTTAAAGTCGGTCTTGCCTTTATGCCCTCAGCTTTTATTAAAGTGCTTTTTCTTCCAACTAGTTTCTGACTACTAACAAACAAATCCTACCTGTGCGTTCCCCGCCTCGCCCCGCCCCGCCCCGCCCCGCTCCGCTCGATGTGCCTTCAGTCCTCTCCTGCCAAATCTGTTTCTCAATTCTTTGTCTTGCTCTCGCTTTCACCTCCCTCCACTTCCAAGGAGCTGAAGGAGATAAGCTGGGATCAGGTGCGTTCCCGTCTCATCTAATAGCACTCAGTCTGATTTTGCGTTATACTTAGCCTAGATTTCCGCTGCCTGCACCCTGCCCCTCTTCATTCCACATACAGTCAGAGGTACCAGATGCAAATACACAAATACAAAATAGTTAATCCCGCTATTTAGCTCCCAGATCTATGCTTTCCCATAATTCACTGCAAAAAGTCTTACCTTATTCACCTTCCATTCCCTTCAAATACTTGCACTCCTCTTTTTGTCTGTCCCTCTTTCTTCTGCCTTCCTATATTCCTGCTTTTCACGTTATTTTCACCGCTGTCTTTCCTTCCCCGTCATGGTTGTGCTTATTTATTCTCCTGACACGACCGATTATTCGACACACCGTGATGCTGAATGGATCTCTCTTGACCTTGGCCCAGATTCTGGCCTATGGGGACATGAACCACGAGTGGGTGGGAAACGAGTGGCTCCCTAGCCTGGGTCTGCCCCAGTACCGCAGCTACTTCATGGAGTCCCTGGTGGACGCCCGTATGCTGGACCACCTGACCAAGAAGGAGCTGAGGGGCCAGTTAAAGATGGTGGACAGCTTCCACAGGTGGGCCTCTGCTAATTCCCAGTCCCATTTCAGCATTCCTGCATCATTCACAGCTATATAATGAGCTGTGCACTTAAATCAGTCAGTATATGTGCTTTCCCCAAAAATTCCGGCTTTTGACTTTGTCGGTTGTAACGATGTATTTTACGAATCTGTAAATGGCCTGTTTTTGTGTGTTTTCATCCTGGTTGCCATGCCACATGTTATATGCTCGGTTGATAATTAACTAATGCAAGATTTGTCCGCAGAGCTAAAGCGGACCTCATTTGCTCTTGTGCGCACTGCTCGCTGACTCTTCCATGTGCGTATCCCTCTTAGGGTCAGCCTGCATTACGGCATTATGTGCCTGAAGCGTTTAAACTATGACAGGAAGGAGCTGGAGAGAAGAAGGGAGGAGAGCCAGCACCAGAACAAAGGTGATTTTACCTCTGACCAGAGAAGCCAGAGACAGAGCCTCATAGTGAGACTCCGATAATCGCCTTGTAAGAGGCCATTTAATACTAACTATTGATTTATATGCCATGCAGGTGTCCAAAGATAAAAATAAAGCTGAATAATAAAAATAGCAATAATACGGACCACATTTTAGGGTGGCAGTGCTTCGCACTGTCGCTTGACAGGGCTGTGGGATCTGTTCCCACCCCTGGTTCTGCGTGTGCAAGTCCTCCCTGTGTCTTCACAGGTTTCTTCCAGGTAGTGCTACAGGTTAACTCGCACCTTTAAATTGGCCGTAGTGTCTGTGCATGTGCATTATAATGGACCAGGGCGTGCCCTGCCTGATGTATTCTGGGATAGATTCCAGTTTCACTGTATTCCTAGGCTGGATAAGCAAATGGATGGACTATATTTTAATCACAATAAAAGTAAAAGTGATGTATGGGGGTTAGATTTACATCCTGTAGATGGTCCGGATTGTTCCGCTGTGGGTTTTAATGCAGACCTGATGCTTTCTCTAACCTTTCCCAGATGTGATGGTATGGTCAAACGAGCGGGTCATGTGCTGGGTGCAGTCCGTGGGTCTGAAGGAGTTTGCCGACAACCTGAGGGAGAGTGGGGTGCACGGGTCACTGCTGGCCCTTGACGACACCTTTGACTACACGGACCTGGCCCTATTGCTGCAGATCCCCAACCAGAACACACAGGTGTGGGCCTCTCCAGCACCGGCAGGCTGTCCCCACCGCCTGGGGCTCTTTCGTGGTCGTGCTGACATGTCGAATTCATCAATTTCGTTTCCTCCCCCTGCCCTCTAATTCCCAGGCCCGACAGCTCTTGGAGAAGGAATACAATGCACTCATTTCCGTGGGAACGGAGAGGAGGCCAGATGAGGTAAAATACACGCAAAATACACACGCACCCCTGCTGGGTTTCAGCTACACAGAAAAACCAGCCAGTTAGAGATGAGCTTTTTGGGTGTCCGGTGAGAGTGTACCAACATGGCCCCCGTCTGACCTCACTGCTCTCCCTCAGGATGGCACAAAGACATTCTCCCGCTCGCCCTCATGGAGGAAGATGTTCAGGGAGAAGGACCTTAGGGGAGTCACGTCCGACTCCTCTGAAACACTGCCGCCCAACTTCCGTGCCTCGGCCATTTCTACGCCATCAGTGACCCTGAGGAAAGTCCAGAGTGAGGGTGAGCCCCCCGGAGGGGGCAGGGGGGGCTATCTCGATCATCAGTAGCTGAAGGCTGCGGGATCTCGTATTTCGTTATGCCTTTGGACAAGCACTTGGCACATTCCCGGCATTCCCAGTTCTGAACAGTGTGTTTGCGAGCACTCAGTCTTCTAGCTCAGAGGTTCCCACCCCCCCCAGCAGTCCTCAGGCAGTATTCCACTGCCCTGTGGGATCCTGGCCGTTTGTCTTGTTAAAGTTCCAAAAATAAGCGATATATTTTCAAACCATGCCGTCTCTTATGGCCCCTGATCTGGAAAAATAAATGGAAACAGCTAATCAGTCCCCCCCGATCAACCCCGCCTTAAAACAACTTTTATTGGTTGGTAAAATTTGCATACAGTGTACTGGTTGGGAACCGCCACTTCAGTGGATTATCAACCATAATGCAAATCCTGAGGGGAAAAGGGCAGTTATTACAGGATTTTAGTGCTTTGTCCAGTATTGTAGTGTGTCATTACAGTACAGTTCCTTTTCAATCCGTTTATCTCCATCTTTCAGTAAATTCTGGGTCCAGAGGGGAGTCGGGATCAGTGCGGACTTACTCCTGCTGAGGAGCATGATGTGGTGAGGATATTACATCACGTGTCACACATTGCCCCATTCATCAGTGTCATCATTAGCGTACTCGATTTTTGTGTGTAAAATCAACATCATTTTGTCGTTAAGTGTTTTTTTCCTGGTAAACATTGTTCAGTTGTTAAAATTTTTAAATTGCCCAAAACAACATTAACGCTGACTAAATGCTGAGAAACAATAGTTAGTTCTGAAAGGAGTAACTTCCTTGTTATGTTTCACAGGGCCAGTGGATTTTGGATTTGATTAATTTCAGAAAAAAACACAAGACAAAAATACGAAAAAAAAACATGATACACGTGGACAGTTCTGCAATAATAGAGTCACAGAGAGAAAATTTAAGAGAGCTCCTGGAAGCAAGCACGATTAGTTCGAGTAAATATCTTGAAGATACTGAAGATGACAAAGGAGGCTATTTCATTGAATGGGTGGATGGATTTCAGCATTTCAGTTTGGTCTGTTTTTCTCGTCGTCTGGATCTACCATTGTACTGTGAAGCTGTATGTCGGTATAGAGACTGATATCATGTTGGCTAAGTGATGTCATCTTTACTTAGCTGTCAACAGAAGGAGGCTTGCTCATGTGTAGGCCAGAAAAAACAGGCACTATTGCTCAAGAAGTCAGTGCAGAACATCATGATGCAAGCCCACTTTTGGGTGACCATGATTCTTGATTTTTTTTTTTTTTTTTTTTTTGTTATTCAGCCATAAGCTGGAACCAACAAGTGCTTCTGTTTTCGGGCCAGAAGTTGCCCATAGACATAAACAGCAGTGTTTGTGTGTCACAACAGGGATGGTATGGTGTTTACAGTAAGTGTGTATGCAAGTGTACTGTGGTGTGCTTTTGTTAATGAGGTTAGTTTATCGTGTTCTCCTACAAACGTGCAAAGTGCACATTTGGTTCACCTGTATGAGCACAGTTCATTGAAGAGTATCAGCGATTGTCCACTGCCAGTGGTTATGCCAGGGAATGTAGTTAGACAAAGGGTTGCCACCTGTCTTCCCAGACACAGACTGTCGACAAGCAGAGGGTCTGGGTACGAATGAGAGGTGGGAACCTTAGATGGCGAGATGAAGCATCTAGTAATCGCTGATGATTTGTCTGCAGAAACATGAACCAAGCAAGGAAGGTGTACAGGTACCGAGAAAAGCAGCACGCAAGAAACAACGAGAAATCGCAGTGAGTGGGATAATGGAGCAGAGGAAGGAACAGATTCAGTAGGAGTAGAGTGAACAGCGTAACAAAACAAGTTTAACATCTGTGTTAAAATGCATGACAAAACAACAGTGAATTTAACTTTAAAGAGAGAAGACAAAATAAATAAAAATAATTACATGAGATTAAAGGTAGGGTAAGGAGTTTGTAAAATGTGTGTTTTTTATTTTTATGATGACTATTTATCTGTATGTATTTATGTATTGAATACCTGTATGTAAATGTTAATTTATTACATTATTTTGATTGTAACTTTATTTAGTTTAAAAAAGTAAATACATTTGAAAAATGGACAGTAAAAATATGCTACTTGTATGTGTAAATTTTGAGAACATATTGTGTTATGATTTAAAAACAGAAAAAATGAACAGCTATAACAAATTATGAGAAGATGATAAAAATTAAGATGATTATGGTAATGAGAAAAAATAAAACACAAATTGTACATTACTACATGACGTGTGGAGTAATTAAATGGTTCATGACTGGGGACTTGCGGGGTGCTGGAAAGAAACAAGAGAAAGAGACAGAATGCACTTTATATAGATTTGTTTAATATGTCAGTCTGTATATCCATTGCCATGGTATTCTTGGAATACTTGGTCACTGTTGCAGAATGTAACAGGAACAGAGAAACAATTGTACAATTACACTGGCACAATGAAGTTCGAATGTCCGTTTCTAAGAAAGATTGATGTTTTTTGTCCCTTTCAAAAAATTACAGCCAAAGCCACTATCCCCTGAAATATCATGAATACCAAATCGATTTTCAATTTTGAAACCATTACTTTTGGAATTTACTGCAAGTACTTATTTTCTTGTATCCACATTGATTGAATTTAACTCTTCTGCCCATTTACAGACGTGGGTGTACCCCAGCCATGCAGGTAGGTGAACCCAGTTAGTTGAGAACAAATCAAGTGCCGTAGTCTTTGACCTATATCCATAAGTGCATATTCTGTATTTGCTACCCTATAGCATTGATAGTTCAGTGAATTACAATTAACAATGTAAAAACATTGTCCAAATCATGGTGGGTCTGTTTTATATAGTCCTGTAGAAGTGCCTTTATTATCAAACATAATTTTTTTTATAATTGTATATACATGTACAGTCATACCTTAGCTCACAAACCTAATTCGTTCGAGGACTCAGTTCGCGACCCAAAAAGTTTGCGAGCCGAATCAATTTTTCCCATGTAAAATAATGTAAATACAAATAATTCGTTCAAACCTCAGAAACACTGATTTTTTTCAGTTTTTTACATTTTTCTGTGAGCAAGAATATAGATTTAAATTATAATAACCTTAAAGAGCAAAAAAGGGAAAGAGAGAACATACTTTTATGGAAGACGGACCAATACACAACTGAGCATACGCTTGTTGGCGGGCTGGTCGCTCGAAAGACGGCAAAACAGGGAAAAGAACCACAAAACATCCCCCCCAAAAACTAAACAATTAACATTAAAACACTGAGTAACAGTCAAAAACAATAGAAAATGTGATTTTTTTTATTACATTGTACATTATTTTCATATGCCTAAAATTTTTATGTACATTTCGTGATGCCACGCGTTGTATGGCGATGAACTTCTTTGTTTGTCCTGTAAACAAACAACACGCAATTGCCACTATGTGTGAATGGAGAATACTGTATAACACTTAAATAGGAGTTACTTAATAATTTATGTTATTAATGAAGTACTGTAATTTTATGTATAGATATGTGACTGTTCAAAACCATCACAAACATGTTAATCAATCACTGAAAGGTACCTCTATAACAGAACGTTCTTTATCTCTATTTCTTTTTTCAGATATTTGACCTCTGAAGAGATATAGTAAAGACATACATCTACAAGTTTCTTATACATTCCACAACCGTTCATGGGCATAATGTACACTTCTTCATGTTTCATGTAGTTCTTTGGGGCGCTTTCAATGGACCCTTGTTGGTGGACATTTGTATATGACGTGTGACATTTGTGTAAATAAGGCGGCTTTTAATTACAAACAACATTATTTTCTTTGGACTAGTTATCCTGGACAGGTAGCCAGTCAATCATATCACATATAATCACATGTTACCGGCAACTGAGAGACTGTAGAGTGTTTGTTAAACTGCGTGTCTTTGGACTGCGGGAGGACACTGGAGTACCTGAAGGAAACCCAACCCACACAGGGAGAACCCACACACAGAGTGGAGGTGGGACCTGAATGCCACGTGTGGAGGTGTGAGGCGACAATGGTCAAAGATATTGAAGTGTGACATAAGTAAGATACCACAATGGGATGTGTGAATATAGGGAAATAAACCATGCTGGAATGGTGCTGCGGTAAAGATGTTAGCATCCCAAAACACACCTGATCATGCGTTATCTCACTTATGTCAGGTGGACTTACCCAACAAAGACGCTATATTCAAGCTATCACGGTACAGCGTTTGTCTTGTGGTTATGGGGAAATAATCAAGAACCGTTAAATAGCTTGTTAACCTTGTAGAATGGGAAATTTAACCAATTGGAATAAATTATTATAAGTACAGTCTGACACATGCATGGAGAAATTCATACATGCCAGATTTTAGTAAGAGTTAGCAATCAATGTGTTATGAGTGGGAGGTCACACACGTCTATGAAATCACCATGTATCCCATCTACGCATTAAATGAATGGGAACTGAATTTTTGGAAATGGCATTTTTGGAACTGAATACCAGGTTTTATCTAGAAAGTTAATCAAAAGAATGAATGTAAACATTTCAGTTACACGAGGAATGTGCTTTTACTCCTTAAAAAATATTCCTTAAAAATAGCTTGTCATACATGTGTTTATTTGTTTTTGCACTGGGACCTACAGCTTTTATGATCATCCTTAATCTTTGGGACAATGGGCTCCTGCAGAAATATGCACATACATGCAGTCCTCTACATGAAAACAAACATAAATACAGACATACTAATATGTGCTCATGCAAAATGAGCTGTTAATTAGTTAGGCTTGATTGACCCATAGATTAATTACACACATTTACAAGGTAACCTTTATCAAAAATCACGTTTAAACCAAATGACTACTCACTTTAACAATAAAGTAAATGACTGATAAGCTATGTATCATATCAAGTATTATCTCAATGAAGTCCAGTTCATTAACAGCTCATTAGGCATAGAAATGAGCATATATGATGTGTCTCATGGCCCAGGCTTAGAAATGACTGCACATACAGACTCTGAGTGGCCAAACTTCAGTGAATGTTTCCAATGTACTGCATTGCACAATATAAAATGACCAGTTCAGTAGTATAAGTCTGACTTCTCATGCTAAAGGCGTAAACTCTGCCTTTTAAATTCTTGTACATAGGTATCTACCTACTTAATCCATCTATACATATATACGGTATGCATAGTACGTAGCATATGCATATCAAGAAATATATTAATAATACAGCATGCTTTAGAGGGTTAAATGCAACATTATAATAAAAAAAAAACTAAAAACAATGACAAATCACAAACGAAAGGAATAATTTTATATAATTACATTTTAAATGCATATAAGATTACTTACACCATCAGGCTTCGTAAATCATATAATGAGGTTTTTCATGTTACACAGACACATAAAAACTGGCATAGAAACATTTAAAGGACTTATGAAGGCAAAGGGGGAGCTGAGCGGGAAAAAAGACGACTCACAAGTAGAGACATAGGAGAACCAATCAGATGGAAGGATACAAATATGAAAGGTGGGGACTCAGATGGGACAAAGAGAGATCGGCATGTGACGGAGCGATAAAGGTGTGTGGGAGATACAGAATGGAAATCCAAGAGGCCGTGGGGAAATACATCTTTCTCTGGTCATTGATGGGCCACAGTGCTTCTCTCAAACCTATGGATTCATTTAGTCTGCTAGCACTGGCCCAGGGAGAATGAGCAGTTTTACTGCCCTTCTAATTGCGCCTCGGCTACCAGCCACTTCTAGGCAGCCATAAAAACATTCGCAAACCAAGCAAGTCACACTACGTCAATAAAGACTAATATGTTTTTGTATGCTTGAGCATCCTGTCAAATTCAAATTCTTTTTGGTTCTACTTTTCCTTTTTCTTAAATACCAAAAATACCATTGATGCTTACATGTTTTTTTTTGCCCTACAGTCAGAAAATACTGTTTTGTAACCATACTCTTGGCGAGATACACAGGCATAGTTAACACAGAGAGTACTGTATAGCTGTACTTTAGGGGAACGGGTCGGAATGAACACTAGCATACACATGACTCTCTGAGACGTCAGCTTGGCAACAGATTCTAGGACCGGCTTGCAGATGACATTTGGGGAAACCCCAGATCACAGCTCGAGAGGGTGAGGGGGAGGCTTGTGCACTTCGTGAAAAATGTACGATTGACAAACGACTGAAAACACAACCTCCCTGAAGGAGTGGGCAGGCAGTCGCCCCTTTCAGCCATGCCGGCCCACAGGAAGTGCCAGACTCTCAGCAGCAGCTGAGTTAACAGGAGGGACGGGACACAGTGCTTCTTATCCACATTCATGTGAACATTTAGGCGCCATTACTCCCCTGGTCTCCCTCTACTCCTCCTTGCCTGCTGGCAGACGTGCTCCCCTGTTTTCCCCCTATACTCCTCCTTGTCTACTGGCAGATGGGCCCCCCTGGTCTCCCCCTACTCCTCCTTGCCTGCTGGCAGACGTGCTCCCCTGTTTTCCCCCTATACTCCTCCTTGTCTACTGGCAGATGGGCACCCCTGGTCTCCCCCTACTCCTCCTTGCCTGCTGGCAGGCATAGTCCCCTGGTCTCCCCCTACTCCTCCTTGTCTACTGGCAGATAGGCTCCCCTGTTCTCCCCTTACTCCTCCTTGCCTGCTGACAGACGCGCTCCCCGTCCTGTTAGTTCCTGCTGACCCGGGACACCAGCACGCAAACACAGGATGAGTCGATCCTGATCCACCTCCAGCCCACTCTCTTGTTGACGTCCATGGTTAAAGCCCTGACGTAAGACTGCTTAGCCTTACACTCACTGACCCACTGGCGCCTGTCGACCCCGCGGCAGCTGCCTCCGGCCATCCCCAGGCTCCCGCTGACTCCCACGCGGCTCATCCCATGCCTCTCATCCTCCTTGCACCGTGTCTCGTAGAAGTACTGCTTCAGGGGGCCCGTCAGGGTCTGGATCTCGGGTAGCACGGTGACGTTCTTCCCGTAGGAATCGATGGCGCTCTTTTTGTCGATGACCCACTCGCTGGCCGCCTCGCACACGGACATTTCCCCTCTCCTGGGGGTGGAGACCCCAGAGCGTCTGTGCCGGGCTTTTGGCCGAGGGCCCTGCTGGCTCTCTGGGCCTCCTTGGGTGTCATGTGGTGACAGCCCTGACTGCTGCCTCTGCAGGCTGCTCTCAGTATGGCTACCTTGGTATTTTTCTACATTATTGCTCATGTCCATATGTTTATAATCAATGGCATCTATCCACTGATCCACCTTTCCCACCTGCTCAGATTCGGTCCTGTTTTCATTATCTCTATCCCACTCTTCCTCCTCCTCCTCCTCCTCTTCCTCTCGCTCGCCATCAGCCAGTAGTCCTGCCTCCAGCATGAGGAGACGAGGCGGATGGTTTGGAGGTGAGGAGGAGGGGGAGAACAGGACCCGGGGGTGTGTGTCCAAGAACAGGAGATCTTCTTCACCCACCAATTTCCCTCCCTCCACTAGCCCTCCCATCTCAATTTCTTCACCCAAGCTGGCCTGGCTTCTCTCTTTCTCTGCTATTCTTTTGGGCTCATCGTTGTGTCTGATTGGTGCTTGTTGTGCTTGACTGGTGGCGTCCTGGGATATTTGATTTTTTATTGAAGCATCTCGATGTCTGCTGATATCCTCTGTCAGTGTGTTGTATTTTTCAGCTGTTGTATTAAACAAATGGCGCCCCTTGTTCTGAATGACTTCTTGTGCAGGGCTTTTCTGAGATTTGTAATCCTCTGGTGCCTGGTTACTCAGAGAAACATAATCTTCCAGCCTGTGTTTCCCTTTAATGATCTGAAAATCACTGGTTCCCAAATTGCCTCCATTAACGTTTGAATATTGAGGAATCACGTCTTTCTGTGTGCCACTCTTGTGGGCATTTTTCTGCCTCTGAATGACACTGAATGTGCTCTTTTGTGATTGATTGCTGTGGGATTTATAGTCCCCCTGATTAAAAAAGGAAGATATGTTGTAGGCCATTTGGCTCTGATTATTCTGCAATTTTTGTACACTGCTTACATTTAGTTTCCCACTGTTGTCACCAACAACAGTCATGTTATAGTCCTTCCGTGAGGGCCTGTGTAAATGTCCAGAATTTCTCAGGCTTTGATTACTCTGAGAGCTGTAGTCCTCAAAAGTTTTATTGTCGTAAACCTGTTTTGTGTTCATACTGTTCAGTCCTTCACTCATGCTTTCATTTTGTAGCCAGTAGCCACTGCTGACATTATTCCTGTGGGTAAGAGAACTTCTTCCAGGCTCTAGTGCTGCAGTAATGAGCCTTGGAGACAGACTTGCAGGGAAGGGGAGGGCCGAGGCGAACACCATGGCAACCAGGGGAAGCCAGAGCATTACTTCCAAGACGTATCAACTGGGAGTCAAAGAAATGGTGAGAATTTACATGAGTTAAAAATGACTATAATTCACATATGACACCATAACCACAATTAGGTCATTAATGAGAATTAATAAATGACGGTTACACTGAAACTGGGAGTTAAAGCAATGGAGGACATGAGTTAAAAATGACTATAATTCACACACAACATTATTACCACATTTAGGTCATTAATAAGAATTAATAAATGATGCTTACACTGTAAAGCAGAAATTATTACATGTGTACAGTGACTTACTGTTATCTAATGTCATGGCTTTATATTTCTACCACTAGAGGGCAAAAAAGTGGCTAATTTCTAAAAAACCTCATTTATTGCACGACGTTACCAACTTAAGAAGCATGGTACAAGTCCTAAAGCTTGCTATAACAAATTCCTATGAGTGTCACAGTAGTCACAATAGTATTTACAATAGTATTTACTGTATCTCGTTCTTGGAAACAAATATCAGTGCCAGGTGTCTTTCTTAGTACAGATAATGAGGAGGCGGAAAGCTAGTTAAAAGGAATTTCAAGAATGTAGGTTATCTGGGTTTACACTGCTGCTTCTTGAAGAGTGTCCCTAGGCCTTTGGATGAGAGGTGGCACCCCAAAGAGCCACACACTGCCATCAAAACACCAAAGGACAGCCACTCCCTCAGTCATTCTGCTAGAGCTAAACTGGCTGGTGCTAAGAAATGCTGAAAACAAACACTGAAAAAAAAACAATCTGCATGTGAAAAGGTCTGCCAATGGGAATTAATAGCTACAGCCACAATAGCCCAGTTTTCACAACATCAGCAACATATTTATCGCAGGAAATTCAATCTGTGGTGTAATGTCTGCAAGTTTTTAAATCCACAATTTTACCAAGCAATTCCCTTCTTAGTTACTCGGCATTATTGAAGGAAAAAATTATGAACAAATAAAGCCCCAAACAGGTCAAACATGTTACGACAATGAATGGATCACTTAAACCCTTTTGGTGTGATACTTGACGTTACAAGCGGCATGTTTATGGGCGGCCAAAGGTAGCAGGGCGACTAGGAAGGACTTTTTCCACAAACGCTGGCCTTGTGCTGACGGCAGAGATAAAACGCACCTGGGTGAGAGACAAATACCTATTTTAACACCAGCCTGTACAGTTCTCACGTCCTCTACAATGATTAACAACTGGGGAACAACCACCACCCCAGCACAGTACATCATCAGCAATGTAGCACTTAGCAGAAAGTCATTTTATTGCTAAAAATTCATTTATAATAATATAATCAGCCTGCATTTTTAATTCACACTAAAAGTGTCTCATTCCTGTTTATTTAACAAACCACAACTTACATTCCCCAACCATGTTACACATACCCTAGTACTATTCATCTATGCAAAATCTCCCTAAAGCGGATTATTGAAGTAATTGCTCTCAGAGAAACCATACTTGTCCGCAGTAACTGAGTTTTACAGCCACTGCTTTCGCATCTTTGTTTTTCTCTGCCTCGAGCTGTGTGTTCGCCTTTCACATAACAATCCCACCAAGAATGCAATCCCCCTTTTCAACCTTTGATCCCCTTGCTATGACTATATCACCCATACATCCATCATGCCTCATTCCTAAGGATTCAAAGAGATGTATCACAGTGTGGATCCAGGGAATATCACACTGGGAGCTGCACAACTGTTTTATATATAGTTTATTTTATGCAGGATAGACTTCTCCTGCTTATAAACTCACCATTAGCCTGTGAGTTCATATATACTTCTGTCCAGATGGAGAAGGATTGTCTGGATGTTACCTGAGTTGAATAACACTGTTGAAACATCTCAATAGGAGAACCCAACAGACACTGAGAAGAAGAGACATATTTAGCTATAATAAAGACTCCAAATTGACTGCGTGAGAGAGTAGTAAAATAAAATAATGGTGTGAATGATCAGGGAGCCCACTGAGGCTTCGTGAATGTGCTCAGGCAGGCCGCCACATGTCCCGTTAGCTGTGTTTGTTGTCTGTGTCACACAAAGGTGTACTTTTCATGCTTCATTTTACACAATGACATGCCTCATTGACTGCTGGTTGACTGTGCTGGCAATAGGTGATACGTTGGGCTCAGTGGATACATCAGTTCCCACCTGTGCCTACCATATACTCAATTAAAGTAGCGAGTCATCAAAGACATTCAAAACAGCACCAGTATACTTCAATTAAAAAGCCTTACCATTTCCCTTGTGGCAACTTGCATAAACTAAACCAAAAAACCTGCTTATTGTCACGTATTCCCTTGTAGGCGTTTGCCTACAAGGAACAATTAACATATCTCACACCTTGTCAAATACAAATTACCTCTACAGATTAGTTGCTGGTAAAGGCTACCCAAATTATAAATAAATAAAAAGAAGTATCTGAGTATCAGTTTGTACTCTTATGGAGTAATCAATCAAAATGTTAAGTGAATATAAAAATAAAGAGTATCAATAACTCCCTTTTCTTCCAAGTTCAGCCTTAAGATTAACTTGATTATTAGGCCCATCGGCACATTTACTGTTTACTTGCAAGAAACATCACTTGAGTGCTTTCTACTGGTGTTCTTCTTTATGTGGAAAAAAACATATGGACGGAACAAGTACAGTATACTGAGAACATATTGGGTCACGGCATTAACTTTTATTTAATGACCCAGAAAATGTATACATGCATCACTATGCGCAACATACTTTGTCTCGTACAACGCTTTGTTCATTCAGGCTTTCCTTCACAGGTCACTCTTTCTGGCTAAAACTAAACCAGTCTGAACTAAGAACTATCAAATCAGTCAGCTATTGAGCTACTACTGCATCAAAGTAAAGATAGTTAGGTCTGGCAGAGCTCCTGTTTGTTACACGTTATACAGTATGTGAATGTGATTTTTAAAATCTTAGACCAATAATATTTAAATCAGATACACATAGATTACTACAATATTTGATCATTGTAAAATAATCAGATACTTTGCCTGAATCACCCTATTTTTAGTAAAACAAATTAAAATGGTTGCCAACGGAAACCTGCTGCTAATGCTTTGTTGTTAAAATTAAACCAAGTGACAAGAAAGTTTGAAAAATGCAATCTGTCGTTTATTGTGGTGGATGAAAAAAAAAATCAACATTGAAATCCCGGACGAACCCAAATAATTTACCGAATTTCCCCATGGGGTCAGTTCAGCACATTTATTGAAAAACATGGTAACGGAATGCACCAAAGCGAACAGTGAGATATTAATGACAGTGAATATGTTTCCTATATTTGGCCCCTGGGTGGCTGAGCATTAGGGTAGGCCTGCGGCGTGCGCAAACAGCCCATCTTCTGATCACTTCACGCCCCATTCTACCTCGGCGCAGGACCACTTTACCAGTTACTCCCCTTGATCGGCAAGGTGGGCTCCATTATGCCGCTTGTTTTCAAGAAACATGACAGCTGCTTTTCAACGCTGCGTTTCACACTTCAGTCAATACATTTTTTCCCCAAAGTAAGCTACCATTTACCCGGTTTATCTGGTTTGGGGTATGTGCAGTACTTGGAAAAAGTAACTACTTCCTGTGCAAGGCATTCGGCTACAGTAGGTAACAGACTAGCGTCTGTCTACAACTCTTACACCTTAATTATGAATGAAATTGTAAAACCAGTTAATTTACGTTGGCGGAAAAAACAAGCACACTTTAAACATGTAGCAACCAGCAGTCTCGGTAAATTTGTTCCCACGACTTTGGGAGTAAGCAGGTGAGTTCCTTTCACTCCGCTCTAATTGAAAATAAATTATGATTGCTATAAGTATGTCTTCTCTGTATACCATCGTGAAAAAGCAAACTCAACAATGTACAATATATTCTGATTGGGTATGAGGCCTAATAAGTGTTGATAAAAATTATACAACTTCCACTTTGAATATACCTTGTAGTTATATATATTACTTAATTAGGCTAAATAACATCAGTATCTAACTTTTAGTCACATCGGTGATTTATAATAAAATAATTATTCGATTTATTGTTTGCATTCAGCATTACTTTCTGATTTAGCAGAGTTTGATATAGATAGTGCAGATCTACATAGGCCTAATGGCTCAAAAAATGGTAACTAATTGCAAAAGCTATTCTGGAATTCTTGGAAATGTTTGCCTTAGCGACCGGAATAAATTCGTCGAAATTGAATACTTGGAGGAAATCTCAACTTAAACCGTAATATAAAACACGAGGAAGTTGCTTCGTTTACTTATTATAGCCTACTTTCGAAAAATTCATATATCCAAAATTGCTATTATGTACTGCAGACCTCACACTTCGGACAGAATAGGCTAATAAGACATTGTGCACTAAGGCATTACCGTACACTCAGAGTGAGTTGCTTTGCATATGAGATAAACCGGGTACGATGCTTGTCAAGTTAAAAATATTCATAATGTTGCAGATCAGTCGTGCTCGTAATGCTGGTTGTCTATCCAGGAAAAGTGGAAGTGATGCATTAGCTGCTGTAATCACATTTAGATGAAAACGCAAAGGTAGCCTATACTTCGGTATTAAAGTCGATTTCAGAAGAATGGTAAAGAATTTAAACCCACACGCGTTTGTAATAATTAATACTAATGATTTACTGAAGTGATTGTAATTAACAAGGTATGAAAGAGGAAGTATAAGACTCTTACCGTTTAGGTGAGATTCGGACAGCACGTCCTTCCAGCGAGTACCTCATTGATTCCGTGGTCCAGCAGACACTCCGAGAATCGGTATTATTACCCTTGTCAGTGCCAACTTAGATCAAAAGCATTCTCTACAGTATAACTGGTAATTGCTTGAAGTCTAACCACGTCATAAACACTAAAACAGCGAGTTACAAGAACACCTTTCAGTCTCCTCTCCAAAAAAAAATGTTTTATAGCTTATCGTGTTCAATACAAACTTTATATAGTGATAAACTATTAAAAAAAAACATATAACCATTTCAGTTATCAACTGAAATCCGAATAGAAACAGTTCGCGTGTAAATTATACTAGTAACTTAACTGTCGGTATATGATTTAAAAATATATATTACCGCCCTTTGGAAAACTTAATGATTGCGCGCTAAAAAAAAAACAAACAAAAAAAAAAGTTACTCCATGGCAAAAACCAAAAACGTAAACGATGACCCGTAAATAAAGCAAGTTTCGATAGGAAAAGTAAGTTCGGATTGTCCTTTGACTTTACTGGCTTCGGAAGGCTGGAAGAAGCTTCACTCCTGAGACCGACAAGCGAAAGAAGAGCAGAGTAAGGAGGGCAGGACTTTAAAGAGGTTATGGGACTGACAGAAGGATGGTTAAAAACAAGACAGAATGGGGAACATGTAAAAGGCCAAGAGGGCTGTCTCAAGTTCCTGCACCTTCAAAGCATGCATACCCTTGCAGGGTAAAACCGTTTCTTATGGATAATTAACAGTTCACGGTAATTGCACTGTAACAAAATTATAGCACCGTTTGAAAGGAGGAAAACAAACAATCGAACGGCATGTTATTTTTCCTTTACAGACTGCATACTGTTGTCTGGTTATTTTCATTCGGGGGAAACCCCGTAAATCTCAATCAGCCATATAAGGTAGCTGTAGAGAACGGCAAAGTGATGTATTTTCTTCAAATATAACGAAACAAACAGCCAGTGGCACAATATGTGTCTTTTTTCCTTAAGTCGGCCAGGTAATTTATTGCGTCGGGAAGATTGAACGTTTTACATGTAGGCGGGACTACTGTGAGAATAAGTGAGACAAAACATGTGTGTGCAGGAGTAGGTTAAGTCCTCCAGGAATTGAAAGACACGAGTCTGGGAAAATGAAGTATGGAATGAAAAATAACAAAAGCAAACAAAAATATAAAACACGGACACTGTAACAGTCCTCGACATTATCAGCAACTGTGTGAAGTCCGTCACCAACTCATGCCAGGGTCCTCTTAACGTCTAATAATCGGCTGCTGTAGCAAAATCTTTCCACCTGAAAGTTTTAAAAGATGAAAGGATTATGAATAATAAGGGAAACAAAGAGGACAGTATATCGTTACAGTTTCGCCCTAAGCTAGCGCCCATGAAAGAGATGGAAAGAAAGAGTGGGGGTCGATGAAAGGGGTACTAATCCTCGATGCACACACTGGACACTGCGACACATGGCTGTGTTACTGTAAATGTCCACTGGCGAGACGGAGTCCCGGTGTTACACGTGCTGACTCGACACTTCCAGCAAGACACCGGCAAAAGATAATCGCGCCTTCTCTCAAAGTCATAAAAACCCTAATAAAAAAGCGCATTATGTTTTTTTCAGGATTGTGTGCGCATATATATATATATATAGATCTCTATCTCTCCACCCTGCATTTCTTCATGGCATTCGGTGTCTGTCACTCACGTTTTCTGTGCCCTCCCTCCGCCATCCTTGCTCCTTTGTCTGAACTTGCCCCATACCTACTTAACATAGATATTTCAGCCTAAAGGTGAGAGGGAAGGAGAGGCAGGAGACAGAAAGAACTAATTTCACTGGGGGGACAAAGTGAAATGAAATGGGGTGTAGCACCATGTGTATATATGTGTGCATATAATTGATAAGACAATCTGTAATTAAAGATTTTGGCAAGTGTTATGCCACATCGTGTGCCACACACATAATCCAGATATTGGGTGTAAGAGACACATTGACACTGCTATGGCACGAGAATGGTTTCAGATCTGCAGGATTAACCATGTATAATGGGTCTGCAGGTCCAAGAAAACAACAGAGAAATTGCAGGATCAGGAATGTGGTTCTGTTCGTTCCCCTCAGTAGCCTAAAGATTTTTGCACAGGCTGCTTTCTTATTTCTTGCCCATGCCCCTTTCATGGCTCACAGGAGATGGTGTGAGCTTTGTGGGAAAAGGAAGTGGCCCTAACTGAAGCATGCTGTATTAGTCCCACTCTCTCTTTCTCTGTCCTTGCTATTGCCCACTAACTTCATATTAGCATTGCCAGGAATCGAAGTGTATCATGATTTATACACAACATTTAGTACATTATGTGGACTGGCGATGCCAGGGTCAGTCAACCAATAAGCTGACATAGGCAGCCACCTAGGGCACCATCTTCTGATGGGGCACTGACTTAACAATCCGCATGCTCCTCCTAGCAGAGTGGGGTGCTGCGGTGAAGCACCTACAGTAGGGTCGCCACATGGCCTTCAACAGAAACGAGGTGATGCAGAACAAGATTGAGAGACACAGTTCTCTTTCAAAGAAGTGTTAGATTCCCTTGCTGTGTAGAAAGCATTACTACTACTACTACTACTACCGTCTTAATAATAATAATAATAATAATGACAAATAAATAATTGATCTCCCTTCTCTAATATTTGGGAAAATGGCTTTTTGTAAACAGAAGTCTCTTCTTTCTCACATTAGTAAACACTGGTTTTCATTATCACCATCATCAAATATAGATGAACAGCCAGAGATCATGTGATGTTTCTTTTGTTGTATTCTTTTATTTCATTTAACATTTAACTTTTCTTTATGTTCATATACATCATGATAAGATATGAGAATGCAACAGTGAAAAAACAGAACTTAAAGTGCAGGTGATATAAGCAACTCCCCAAAACACAAACTAACATGTGAATTCATGAGCTTTGCAGTTGGTCACTGAGTTCTCCCAGCATTGTGCGAGGATCACAAGCATCACAGTTTCCCTTCGGTTACCTTAGGTACAATATTATTAATCAGGGTTAGCGATGTCACTGCACCAGCTGCCTGTATGCACTGCCTGTCTGGTTGTGGCCAGCTGACTGAATTCTCCTTTTTCTCCCATTCTGCCCATCTTCCGCTTTTGTTCCTCTCTGTGCTCTTGTTCTCCACCCTCCCCCTCTGAGTCTGGGGATTGATTTCTGCTACACATGTTAACAATTACCGTTGTAATGTCTCGTTCACCCAAATCCTGCTTAATTAGACAATAAAACCCCCAAAAATATGAACAAGCAACAGTGAACGGTAGACGCTGAGAACGAGACTGGGAAGTGCCAGTGCCGGGCCAGTGCTAAGGGGTGGGAGGGGTAACAAGGAATCATGGGAAAGTAAAAGGTGATCAGGGTTGGAAAGTGATAGAATGTGATACAGAGCAGCAGCAGATATACTTGGCTGGCCTGTATTTTCTGTTTTTATATATATATGTGTCATTCGAATATAGGTGTTCCATTTTGTGTTTTTTTTTTCTTTTCTGGTCTTGCAGAACAGCTTGAACCAATGCCATGAGCAGGATTTGAACTTATATCACTGGACAAGGACTATATGATGGAGGAGAGTCTGCCGCACTGTCGCTAGGTCTCTGATATCTCCAGTAACAAATGTCTACCTTCGGATATGGCTGTCTTTGGAGAGCAGCAGGGAACATGAGGATATATGGAGAGTGGAACAAAATTTCTTTTCTTTTTTTTTATTTGCATTATGGGAATCAGGGGCGTGCTTTTAGGTTTAATGCTTAACAAGAACCAGACTAGAAATAGTGGGAGCTGACCGACAGGCATGTGGTTCCCTGTAGATCTCTGTTCTCAGGCATAGTGCAGCATCAGGCTTCATAAGCCTCATGTCTTCAGACTCTCACCCCTCGACTCAGCACTCAAATGTGCACCGCAGAGGTCAAGCAGCTAACATGGTCTGAATGCACTGTACATGGAGCTATTTCTTAATTTCTGGACCTGGCAAACCAAAGGACAGCATTTTTTTCTGTTTTTGACATATAATAGTGTACATGAGGACAGATTATATGTTAACTGCATGTTAATGCCGGGATTCAAAGGACTGAAATGAAGAAATTCTGTTTTATGACACACGTGTAACGTGGGTTAAAAAATATGCCCGGAAAAAATTCCTACACTATAGTGTGGTGCATGTTTGCTCTACCTTTCCCGCCTCCTTTTATTTCCCTCTCTGATCCTTTCCATAGTTTCTTTTGCACCGTTCTGCATTTCTCTGTGTCGCACAGTCGAGGAGGGAATGCAACACACTATAAACTTTACTCACAGCACAATGAAGCAAAATATTGGATTTCAAAGTCAGTCTTGGTGTATAGGCGGTTTGAGCCACACAGACAATTAGCGGGAGATTGATTTACACTGTATCCAGAGCATGAAAGAGGGACAGTTTTTCATGCCTCTGTCCAGTGTTGAAAAGGAGATGTATTTCAGTAGCATACCCTGTCCCGTTCTCCCCATCTGTCTATCCCATGGGAGCTGAACTGTTTTGGTGGAGGAGGGTAACACAGATGGACTCATTCACACGTTGACTGACTTGTTATCACCACACTTTGCATGGCTAAAAATACTCCAGCTGAGTGATGCTTCTGCTGCTATTGCGACGACAACACGATTATCAAGACAAAGACAACAGTTCTCACACCAGCTGATCCAGTGTTGCACTGGCTCTTGACCACTTAAGAATTGCAAAGTGACAGGACCTTAATGGTGAAGGCTAACTAAGTGTTACACTGAGTGAGATGCATGATGCTTAATGACCGAACTGTTAGCAATCCATACCAGGACTGCTGGAGAAACTAAACATGTGGCTTTTTCTAAATAAAATACTTTTCATGGCAGAGTCAAAGAAAAAATAGTTTAAAAAATTAATATCAATGCCGCAATTTTCTGCAAAATCCACAATGGAGGATTAAATCAGTGGTTCTCAGTTGGGTTTGCCTCAGGTCCGGCATTTCTCCTTGGTCAGTAAGTCTCAACCCAGTTCTTGATAATTTGGGGAGGTGGAGATAATTTTTTTAACCACACACTGTATGTCCCACGTAAAATGAGTTATGTTTATATAACAAGTGACCCCCAAGTTTTGCTTTCCCAGAAACCTACCCTTAAGAGTAAAACTTTGAGCTTTGTTACCCCAGTCTGCCAAACTTCATACTATAACACCTGATGCTATGGCTTCAGCAGTGAGGAAACAGACATCTTGGATTTCGTTTTACATCACAGTTAAGGGACACTGGTGAGACTCAATCACAAACTTTATAGCAGAAAAAAAAAACGCAGAACTGTTGTTCTCGTCAACTGATTTTAAAGGCAAAGGAAATTTAAGTCTAGGAACCCAGACTACAAGTGATTTAGCATGATGAAAATACAGCTTACAGGGTAGACGCCTAAACATAAGACTATTTGCATTCTCTTAAAAATGGGTGGTCGTGATAGTAGACTTTTAAATGCTTTCTTTAGATTCATATCTTTTGGAAAAGCAAGGAAAACAGGATTGGTACATTCTGACTGCAGCTTTCAGCATTAATAGGACTGTG